GTCAGTGTGCTGAAGTTTACACAAGAAGTCGATAATTCAGGGATTCCTGAATTATTGAAGCTCTTCTGTAAATAAAAAAAAGAGCAACTTGTCATTAAAGGTGTTTTATGACAGTACTGTACTGTGCAATACTGAATTTGGAAAGGACCACTGATGTGTAACCACAGCCCAAGGAAACCCTGTCTGTGAGTAAACTTCTGCCAGGGACATTCGTGCCAGAGATTTGGTTTATTTTGCCAATTCTATGGGGATAGTCACATAGTTCAGCAATCCCAGAGGAAAAATGAATGGTTAGATTATGGGATGTCACTAATAATCTTGGAAAATTTCCTAAATCACTCAAAAGCCTAAAAACTGGTCCTCTTATTTTTGGTTCTATACAATAACATTTTATTGTTTTATATTTGTATTTATTGTTTCCCTTCTACGTGACTTTACCGAAAGAACCAAAAATATTAATCCCTGCAGTCACGAAAGCTTTAAATAAAAATGTAACTGGTCCTCTGTTTTTGTGTCACTAAGCCATCATTGAACTTGTAAAACTCTGCCTTGTGGTGTCATAGCACAGCCTCAATGCCAACCTTGGCAACGACTGTACACTCATCAGTCACCATATTTTCATGCAATGTGAAGATAATTTTAGGCATTCCCATCATGCAAAGCATTCTTCAATATACAGGTAGTCCCCGACTTATGACGGATATGCGTTACGATGACCCCATCGTAAGTCTAAAATATCGTAAGTCGAAAATGGCCTAGCCTACCCAGGAGTCTTAAAGAATGGTGATAATTTAGCAAAACAGTGCAATTTACAGTACCGTACTGTATAAACTATATACTGTATGTATTGATTAATTACAATACATGCTTTTTTCACAAAAATGGGGCTTTGAAACACAAAACACAGAAAAAAATACACGCGTTAACACCGTGACAACTTAACTCCGTCGACCACTGACTGGTGAGAGTGAGGCATCACCACACAAGGCAGGAGATGCGTACATCCCGGCAGCGTCCCAGCGTACAGCATCGTACCTCGTACACTGCTGCGTTTGCCTGCCGCGCGAAATGTAAAATATTTAACTTATTTGTCGTATCGCCATCGTAAGATCGAAATATCGTAAGTCGGACCATCGTAAGTCGGGGACTACCTGTACAAACTTATACAAACAATAAGCAATGCAATGATTGTACCATACATTGCACACTTATGTAAACGTTTGGACTGTGTGGTACTACACTGTGTCAAGCATTGGAGGCAGCTGCTTAGTTTTACTATGCTTCTGGCTGGTGTCAACACGTTCACTCGTGCTGGAAAAGAGACGTGAAATTCTGCAAGGTGCACTCCCAACAAATGTTTTTAGAAAATAACGTTAAGAGTACTGTATATAGTTTCCCATTCATTGCCGGATTTTTTTTTCAAAGTCTGGTAATTCATTCATCCACAATACTTTTAATTGTGACCTGTGTTCCGAATATTGTATCTCTTTATTGTTTTGTGGCATTTCAACTTGCAGTACCTGTTTGATACCTAGTCGGCATGAGTCAGTATTTGGGGAAATTCCCGACTGTACACAAGGACATACGTTTAGGGGATTTTTATACTCCTAAGAATAGCACCGACTATATGCCCTATATGGCCTCGGACACAGATGCGGAATGTGCCCTTGCCAGTGATGTCACCCTCACGTAGTGTATGAGAGTGGGTACCGATGTATGAGGGCTAAGCAAGCATTGCCCATTCTGGTTTGACCAGAAAAAACACCCTTTGCTTGAAACAAGCAATAAAAAATGCTGTGTAATCTAATTGTATACATTTTTTTGTAAAGTGGTTCATATTTTCGTTTATTGTGCAAGTGGCAATGTTATCCATATGGATGAATGTAGATGTGTGGAAATACTGTGGTAGATTATGGGAACATGTCGAGGTCGTGTGGGTGACCACGGCAGGTCTGAATGTAGGGGTCACGCAAGGTACAATGGACCACGTCCAGATAAATAATTAAAGAAAAGCTTGGAAAAGGAGATCTGGGATTAGGGGGGGAACCCAAAAAATATATTCGCAGGCAAGAGGAGAGGAGAGAAGGTATATAAATAACTGAACTATAAACACACTTTATTTATATTCTTGGTTCTTTTCGGGCGTGATTGTTTAAGATTCAACCTGGATGGAAACCACCGGGGCTGAAGATAGCCATAACAATTACGAGCGTGGCAATCCGTTACACTCAATACTGTATTTACGTTGGGAGAAATAAAGCTCAACTCCTCTGAAAATTGATGTCTCCAAGGAGCTTCTTTTCAAATGTTGTCTTTGTACCACAGCCATCATTGTCCCACTCCTTCAAACACGACCCCCATGACTGATGTGGAGTCCTTCATCTAGCAGTGGATTGGCAAAGGGCTGTATACTGCTGCACTACAGCTTTCATTAAACATAACCTTCTAAAGAAACAATTCTGAATGTGCTAATCACTTAGTATAAATATTTTGTTATTAAAAGACAATATATTCGATGATATTTCGTCAAACTTTTAGGTCTTCAATGTTATGTTCTTCAATCATTCAGTATAGTTAAATTACATTAGTTGTAAAATATATATGGGAATGAAATAAAAAAATACCTGTGAAACGAACACATGAGGGTTCCTATTCTGTTCGTTTGAATTCTGAATACAGAATCGGTGCACATGAATAAATAATGTCGTATATGACCTTTCAAAATGTATTTTCATTTAAATGACTCCTCAATATCAAAATAACATGGAATTAATGCCGTTCTTGATAAACGGGAAGTCCGCATATACCCAGCTCCTAAGCAATGCAGTTTTTAAATTAGGAAATTTGTTCCACTAAAAATGACCAAATTATAACAATGCGCGTATCACTTCCTCACTTCTCCACCCAAACCATAAGATCCTGTTTTTGATGCGAGCATTTGGCTATGTCCTAACCAGTGCAGTGAGATGCCTTCATCCTATTTATTAGCAGTCTTGATCTATTCACTGTTGAGTGAACGCCTATCACAATCTTTCAGTCTTGCCATGCGACCGCCCATATGACTTCAATGTAAAATTATAGTTGCTCGACATCAACATCAGCCATGTGATGAAGATCTCACTCACACTCATGAATTGATTTCAGCACTCCATCGCCCTGGGGGTTTAATATCGTCGTGTGTGTTATTTCCTTCAGCTGCCATACCACGACGAATCTTGTCTATTGGCCATCAGCCCTTTTACTATCCATAACAGTCAATGTTGATGCCTATAATTTGCATTTGTTCCGTGATCCATGCATTTCTCTCCGTTTCTCAGTGTCGCTTCTTTGCGCACTCATCACGGTTTTCTTGCATTTTTTGTCAGTGTCCATTTATGTATGTTGAACTTGGGTCACACCGTACTTAGCCAAACGTGCTAATCGGAGGTGCAGTCCATGGTATTGATCTGTGTCGCATAGTGGGTAATACATACTTATTGAAAACATCCAGTTAAATTGGTATGCAGCTTTTCATTATCAAAATGTTTTTCCCAAAAGTACTCCCATCTTCCTCGAATAATTTAGATCCCAATCCACCTTCAATAACAGCCCTATGTATACATACAGGATACACATTCTATTTGTAGGACCTTTTTTTTCTCTCATATAAAGGTATTCAATGATAAAAAAACGGCTTTACCCTTTCTGGCATAAATACAGGTGTTAAGATGTTCAAACACCAAATAGACGCATTCGAAGGCATTCAATCTGCATTAACAACATACTTGTAAAAAATGCAAATACAAATTATTATATAATTTATACACTGTCCTTGAAACTCTCCTACACCAGAGGTTTTGTCTCACCAATGCTGGTATCAAAGGCCACCAAAATGTGAACAGTACTAGGACAATACAAACACCAAAGCATTAACACATTCCTGCGGAGGGAGCTGGTAGGAACGTTGGGTTGCTATGTCAATGGCCAGGGCGGCGAGGTGTATTCCGCAAATATGCCCGACTGTGAGGGCGGGCACAAGCCGGCGTGAGTAGGTTACACGTTAAGTTTTATAAGGGCACCACGGGGTGACCAGCCCCTCCCCACCCAGCCCCACCCCTCCACCCCCCACTTAGCCCCACCCTCCCCACCCAGCCCCTCCCCACCCTCCCCACCTTTTCCCCACCCAGCACCTCCCCACCCTCCCCTACCCACCCAGCCCCTCCCTCCCCACCCAGCCCCTCCCTGCACGACGGACGGACTCAATAATCCCCTGTGGGCTGGTGTAACCAGGAGATTCCTACCAGTATTAGTTCCTTGCATTTGCATCGTAACAATGTGCCAATCCACAACTAATCGAGTCCAACTTGGCAGCCCAAACACTGCAAGGCAGTCTAAGTGAACCCCTGAGCAACAAAGGAGAACGCACCACGACAAAGTTGTTATGTACTCTACCGTGCACGTAAAGCCCCTTTGTGTGTCAATCTACTGCTGGATGAGAGCCTCTGCCCCCGCTTTGTCCATAATGAACTGTACAGTATTTTCAAAAGTGATCGGTTGCGACAATCAGGTCCAATGTGCGTGCTCGTTTATGAAGGAATGTGTGTGTGCGCGCAGTAGTGAATGTTTGAATAAACTCAAATCAAACTTGGTTAAGTAGTTATAACTATTTGTACCTGTTCTGGAGTGGCAGTTATGATTGCTTAATGCTGTGTGGCTTGAGTAGGAAAAAGTGTACAGTTGGTGGTGGTGTTGACATTTTGTGACCTGACCTATTCGTCTTGACCTGACCTTTCATACATATGTGGGTTAACTTAGGACTATGTATTATACCTGCTCTGGAGTGGCTTGAGAACAATTCTTGTTCGTTTGGATGCAAAACGTTAAAACATTTCTGGTGGAATTAATGCGGAAGGGTCGATGTTGAGGGATGGATGGTGATCTGGTAGAGAAAATGTTTTACGCAAGTCATTCGATTACCCATCTGTTTCACATTGCTTGTTTAATATGTGTGTTGTATGCAGGTGGCACTTTCTTTGTTTCTGTGGAAGACACCTTGTCTGCAGAACTTGGTCGTGACTTGAAAATCCCGTGTACAACAGATGCTGATTTAATGAAATTGGCTGTTCAGTGGTACATTGTAAGTACTCTTTGACTATATTCAAACTACACTATGTTCTGTGCATTACAAGACACCTTTCCCCCCCCCCTGAATTTCAAAGCAAAGGTTGGGGGGGGTGTGCTTCTGTAAATCTGGTAGGCATTTGTGTGTAACCAGGTTTGTATAATGTTATTGACACCGGGCACAAGTTTGGTGCATGCCTTACTTTACGGAGCACATATAATCTGGAGAATATGGTATTTTTAATGAATTGTACATCTGACTTTTGCGTGTATCTTTCCCCGAGAGTGTGAGTGTATATAAATGCAAGTCCTCAAAATACATCTTAACATTCGGGTTGTATCATTCTCATCCAACAGTCCCATTCTTCCATGGAGTCGGCTGTTCAGATTTAATTTCTCCATCTACCCCACGTTACTCGAACGGCCAGGTTTTCCTCGGTGAATAAATTAATCGTTATTACAATTGTCAATGAGTTTCAGTCTGGGTTATTCTTGAACTTGGACCTTTATTACGTGTTCACGACAGCACATAACACTGCAGGGAATTACCCCGTTCAGCCACCCTGAACACTTTCTCTCCTCGTATCTTCTTCCCCATCCTATCTGGAACTTTCCTTAACTCTACACCACCAATCCTCTTTGTCCCTTCTAACGGTTACCCAACCTACCCCTCATTTCTAAATTTTCCTGGGCTCAATCTTGATTTGAAGCTTTCGTGACTGGGGGAATTCACACTCTTTGGTTCTTTCGGTAAAGTCACGTAGATAGAAAAATAAGTAATAGATCACAATTATTGATCTATTATTTATTTTTCTATCTACGCGACTTTACCGAAAGAACCAAAGAGTGATTTCCTGGGCTCATTCAAACTACCCCAATGGCCAATCCAATGTCAATGGTTCCCCGGCTTCTAATGAGATCATGCGCCTACGTCGGCTTTCCCTGCGATAGCCCACCAATGGGATTTGAGCACGCTATATGAACTCGCACACCTTTTGACCAAGTCTATATTTGTCAATCGAGTTGTTCGCCTCTCAGCATCCCTTACACACTTATTAAAGAGGACATTGCTGATGAGGGGGCACTGGATATATTGGCTTTGCCCCAGGCACTGGTGGACATCCCATTGTTTTTATGCTACTGTATTTCAATATGGATGAATAGTATGCAATCAAATGAATAAATGCTGGATAATATAAAATAATCGTTTTCATTATTTATAAATTAATAATAATTACTTTTACACAACTGGTTAGATAATTAAAATAGCCTAGCTTGAGAAGCATGTGGGTTTTGTATTCTGATGAGGTGTCACGTGGTTGGAGGTCAGATGTGAGAGGGTTGTGTGCTGTAAACATTAAACAAACACCCACCTGTTGGGCAAGGCTCCATAGCTGTTCTCACCAAGGGGTGTGTTTCGGAATACCCTTTTGTTTGTTCTTGTTTCACTTCTTTCTTGCATGAATACATCTCTGCCCCTTGTATGGCTTTATTTTGGTGATTTTCGAAAAGTTTTTTGGTTTGGCCATGTTTGTTTGTTGTAGTACAGAGTTAGACTGATGGCCTTAATCTAAGTTGTCTTGTGGTTGTTGTTGTTTGACTTGCCATCCCACTGGGATATTTGCACAGGGTTCGTGTACGGTGATTTTTCTGCAATATTGTGCTGTCTTTTCTTGGATTTTCTGTTTGCACATAGTCACTTTAAGATGTTTTCTTGTTCATGTTTTTTTTGTTTGTTGCGGTTGCACCCGATTCAAGAGCCGAATGGCTCACAGGGCTATACCTAATAAATAAAAAATAAATAAATGAACTTTGAGCTCTGATGATTAACTCAGTCATCTCACATCGCCTCTTACCTCATTGCAGCTCTACCTTTACTATATCTCTGCTGTCTGTCACTCGCTCTTATCCACGTTTGTCTTTCATCTCACTACACACCTGTTATCTTCTGTAACACAACAGCATTTAGGCTTGTCTGCATATAGTTTTTCATGTTACGCATCTCTCTTCAATGTCACTACATCTTGTCGACATGTATCTTCTCTCATCGCTACGTATTCACCAACTGTACTGTCTTGTGTTACCATGATGCCACCCCTACTTTGTGTCACTCTTCTAGGTCAAACCTGAGGGAAGGACGAGGGTGTACTTCAAGAAAGCAGAAGTGAAGTTTCCTTCTGACGATCCTCTATACAAGGGTCGGCTCTCAATTGTTGACGGCGTCTCACTTGTTGTGAAGAACGTGTCTCTGGTTGACCAGCGGGAATTCATTTGCAGCATCACCTTGGGCGCCACGGAGGCGAAGTCAACCCACGTTAACGTCTACGGTGGGTGTAGCAGTGCAGAAATAAGCTGCTTTTTAAAATGCTTACAGGACACCCTTTAATAACGCAGGGGGGTTCCATTTTTGGAAAGTGCCGCTAAAGCCAAAAGCGCGATATTCAATACTTAAGCTGTACCTAAATAATGGGGGGGTTAGGTACACGGCAACCAAAAATAGGTCAGTTCAACCTTAAATGAGTACTTGGTGCGATGTATAAATGTCGCCACAAGCAAGACGAAGGTGGCTTGGTGTAGTGCTGGCCACCTACCCCTCGTGTGCCACGCCGGCCTTCATAGGTGCTCGCTAACGGTATTTGCCTCACTCAACAGTCTGTTGGTAAGCCCTGCGGGGGGTTGTCTTTGTCCGCGAGATGCTCGCATGGCAAAGGTTGTGGTGCCAAAGACTGCCTCGTGTTCCTCGCCCGCCCCTTCCTGCACTGCGGTATCAGCCAATGAATATGGTACTTCTGGGTACAGTATACCCGCGAAAGTCCAAAACTAACCCCCGCGATAGTTCAGTTGGTATACAAAGAGGTTACTCGCGATAGGTAACAACCGCTAACGATAATCCCGCGAACGGTAAACTCGTGATATTCAAGGTTCTGTATTTATCAGAAGACATGTAGTGGGCTTACGTTTTAGCCCAGTGTAATGCCCCTATTACGTGTACACATTTGAGCCAAGCCAGTAGCAGGCTGTGGCATTCCACCAGCAATTTGCTGTGCCATGTTGTAAACAAATTGTGATACATTGTCCTCACAAGACATTCATTTGGCTCGGCCAAGCTAGGCTAGGGGATAGGCTAATGACGTCACTGCATGTGATTAGCATGGTTAGCTACCTCTGATTGGCACGGTTGGCTACGTACGGGGTGAAAGGAGTTCAGCGTAGTATATTGTGAGAAGACAATGTGACCGTGTCATCTACACGTGTCTCAGCTCATTCGCTGCATGTGACGTCAGTGGCACGGCTTGGCTTCTGCAGTGGAAAACCTGGCGCCTCCTGAGCTGTGGTGGGCTGCCTCGGCAGTTCCCCATAGCACGGTTTAACGGCGACGAAGAGGTATAAATGTGTGCTTTCGTTAGTTTCCCCAAGACATAGCACTTTGCCAGATTTAAAACACATTGCTGCGGAGGGAGCTGGTAGGAACGTTGGGTTGCTCGGTCAATGGCCAGGGTCAACGGCGGCGTGGTGTATTCCTCAAATATGCCCGACTCTAAGGGCGGGCACAAGCCGGCGTGAGTAGGTTAAACGTTGAGTTTTATAAGGGCACCACGGGGTGACAGCCCCTCCCAGCCCCACTCCTCCCCACCCTCCCCACCCAGCCCCTCCCTGCACGACGGACACAATCCCCTGTGGGCTGGTGTAACCAGGAGGTTCCTACCAGTATAATCCTCTGCCAACCTGAGAACTGAACTCCAGATGTCTTCCACGTTCAAATGAGCAGTGGAATGGCGCTCATCTCCATTGGTGGCCCCGAGCCGGTAGTTGTATATTTCATATTTTTTGGGCAGAGCCCAGTCTCTACATAGGACTGCCACTTGTTACTTCCAACAAAAAAAAGTGATGCTCATTTGTATCCACTATGGAGTAGGGATCATTTACTGAGTTTAGTATTTTTAAACACAGCGCTACCTGGTCACATGCATATCCTAAGTTTTGTGTATTCTGCATATTAATGATTTCATTTCATTTTCTAGCAAATCCTCGCCTGGAATTGTCTCCAAGTACAGAGCCACTTATCGTTAACAACGAATTTCAAAACGTAAGTGTCTCCAGTGGCCTGAACTGTGCCGTATATCCCCTTTATGTTTCTTGGTAAGTTAAGGCAGCATAGACCACAAAGAGGTTTCCATGTTTTTGGCACAGAGGATGTGAGAATATGCAACCTCGCAGTGGTAAAAACTGTTTTGGAAACGTTGCTTCGAACCTTTAGTCACAATTGCACATAGCACTTGCACGATGAGTGTCAAGTGGTTGCTTTAGCATAATGGGTAACAATACACAGTGGACTCATTCTAACACTTCCTGTGTAAATTCTGAGAAACTCATGAGAAAGTTAAGAGTGTTCGGGCTGCAAAGAAATAATTGTGATAATTAACAAAAGTTACTTTTTGGACTGCAAAAGGGGCAATTGTTGCCATCGGATCATTCTTTCCATCATGCATTGCATGTCACATGACATCACTGCACTGTGTGCATACTGCACACAGCTTTTTTGAGACAAACTCATAAGAGTTCAATCATGACCCAATGAGTGGCTTTGGAGATGGGTCAGCAAGAGTCTCGGTAAAGAAATTTTTTTCTGGCAATTTAAACAATTGTAGAAGCTAATGTTTTGGTAAATGGCGTTTCGAACACATCTCAACATAGGAAATCACCTTTTGAATAATTTTATAATAATGAATGTAATTTTTGTATTTCCTTTTATACTAATAAAACACGACTTAAACTCTTTCTGGACATATACTTGTGTGTATGTAGTGGTGTTGCATTATGAAACCGGTGACCTGACTTAAATTCCCAGCCACAGCTGTAATTAGCAGGATATGTTAAGTGAACCTGGCTCCCCAACTGATTACTGTGGTTAACTATGGTCAAACCACCCCTATGACCAACATGGTGTGGAGAGGCTTTCAGCGAGCATTAAGATTGAGCAGGAGCTGTACATTAGTATAACTTATGTTGGTGCAATGGCATATTTTGTTGGGTGATGGTGTGATTTAAAGTCTTCAAATGACTATCAAAGGCTGTGAAATGAAATCCTACTCCGGGTCCACTTTGCCTATAATATCTCCAGATTTCTTAAAAGTGGTTGTCCTATGGATAAATTTGCCCCTGCCATGGGAATGTCTAATTTCCATCACTGGTTCAGGGCTGACCAGTGCAGAGGAGGGCTACCCCATTGTTGCATTGAGCACAGACACATTTTGGTTGTGTTTTCGTTTTGTTCTCCCAACCTCGAATCCGTCAGCTTTATTGGCATCCTGTAAACAATGATAGCATTTGTACATACTGATGCAGATAATGAAATAGTATGGTAGCAGATCGTGAGTTGCTTATAAAACCATGGTAATTAGAGGTGTATGGATGGAAGGGGTTGTAGTGAATCGCTCTACCCACAATATTAATGTTTATGAAAATATATAATAATAACTTACATCCCACTGTGAATCAACTGCTGGATGAAGGCCTCCCTACGCCGTGTTGGTTTGACCATACTTCTCTACGCTGGTCAATGTTGGTTGGTGAAGGGGATCCCAGGACCAATTCACATGTCACTCGCCTCTAATGTTGCCGTGGCCGGGAATCGAACTCGGATGGCTGGGTTTGTAGCGCAGTCCACAAACTAATACACCACTGCTTCTACCCTCGTCTGGCTTCATGCATTTTTTTTTTATTTTAGGTCGCAGTCTGTGTTGCTGAAGATGGATATCCTGAGCCCAAGATTGTTTGGTTTAAAAACTCGAATCCAATCAACGAAGGTAATACATTTTCACTTTGCATATGTAGTAATTATATACTGTCAAGTGTGCGTGTGTGTCTGAAAGATAAAGTGTTTGCACTTTTATGCGTAATTTCATTTAGTACTTTCCAATTAAAATTGAGAGTGATTATGTATTAGCTCACTGCATCTCTGCATCTGTCTAATGGGGTTACAATAACTGCTCATGGTGATTCAATGTGATAAAAATGTTATAACAATGTTGTGTTGCTATTAGAGGCCTACCCGATAGAATCAGACCAGTTTGATAAAAAAAGAAACTTGCTCAAAACTTTCCGATAAAACCGGTGCTAAAAAGATTTGCTTTTCTGGCCATTATGCGTCGTGTGATGTCATCTCATCATGCGGCTTGGAAAGTTACGTTATTATGAGTAATTACTTCCGAGGACAGACACATGTTGGAAAGGGTTAAAGAATTTGTGTATGTGCATGTTTTTTCTTCCTTTCTATTAATAATGTTTTATATTGTGTGCGATTCATGTTCTGTGTGTAAATGTGTATTTATGTTATGAAAATGCGTAACACTTAAAAAAGGAATTACGTGTTCATAGCATCATTTGATTTCATTCTGAGACTTTTAATAATAAGGAACATCATGTATACAATACATGTGGAAATGCTCTATATGTTGTTTTATATCTATTCCTATTTGTCATTCAGAAAATGTAGCAATGTTGCTGTTATTATTCACCATGGTCAAGTCCTGTATAATATATATGAAACTTATTTAACTAAAGCACAAATTACATACTTGCCAATAACTTTAACTCATGGAATATCGTGAGTTATGTTTAGTTTGGTTCATGACAAAGTGTGTTTCGTAAGTAGTAAGCTGCCAGTTTTTAAATCCTTGTACCGCATATTGATTTTCAAAGATTATCAATCGTCACTTTATTTTTTATATTTTTATTTCACGAAGCTTTCTGCTTTCAAAGGTGGTAAAAGGGCTTAGAATCGTCAGTTTGTGGGATACATTTGTAGGGTTGGCAAGTATAAAATTTAAGTCCGAATGAGAGATAAATATCGCAAAAGGCTTGATCAAGAGCTTTGTCGAATGACTGAACTTGTTTCTGGTCAGATGTGGAGGTCGAGCCCGAGGTGAAGAAGAACAATCAAGGTCTCTTCACAGTGAGCTCTGTGCTGAGGATCCGACCCCAGAAGACTGACATGGGCAGCTTGATCCACTGCTCTGTCACGACCGTTGATGGAACCACTGAAATAGAGACTCCGCCAGCAACGACGGTCACAGTTCACTGTACGTTTCCTGCTAGCATATTAACCACGTTTGATATCTTGCCCTGGGGGTCATGGATAAGGCTATTAATTTCCGTGGTTTAGCCAAGGACAGTCACGGGTTCAGAAAGGTTTTACCGGTATCAACACTTTTGTAAAGATGTGCATTTTTGTTCTGGTTTAAAATCCGATCTCTGTGTCGTGTGGGTTTGCCACCTTCGCATCCAGTGAAAGGGGATACAATTGAGTGCGAAATTATGCATTGATTAATATGTATGCAGCCATTTTGTCAATCCACTGCTGGATGAGGGCCTCCCCATGCCATACTTCACCATGCAGGTCAGTGTGGATTGGTTAAGGTGGGAAGCATTGACAACAATGGATGTTGTTGTACTGTCCTCTGCTGACCACCACATAGCCTTGCAGCCTATCATACCTGTATGATGATTGCCAATCCAAGCATGTTCCAAGTTCAAACCTGATTAGCTTACAAGGTCTGAGATCAGGGGTGCATTACCAGTGATTTGGTCAAAGGCCAGTACAACATTCCTGGAAATTGTTAAACAAAAAATGAGAAATACCAAAAGGATGATGTGCTGAGTCAATCTCCACCTGGGATTTAAAGTTGACATCTTCCAATTGTTGCTCAAGTGCACAAACTGGAGCAACAGATAGACGTTGCATGCTTGCATTGCCTCTTGCAGATACGATGTAATTATAAGTAAATATTTCTATTGTAGATGGTGCCATGGTTGGCACAGTTGATTTGCAATCCGATGTCTCCACTTCGATCTCCCGGTGTAGCAGTTGAAGTAATGACCAAATTCCTCAAATCCCCCCCGCCTCTGTCAATCTGGCAGTATAAATGAGTCGACCACATTTGGCAGATTTCGATTTAAAGCTTTCGTGACTGCAGGGATTCATCTTCTTGGTTCTTTCGGTAAAGTCACGTAGAAGGTAAGTAATAAAATAATAAAAATAAAACATAATAAAATAATTCTCACGACGTTTCGGCCACAACGCAAGCAGCCGTCCTCAGGTGAAGACCAGGTGACCTGGTCTTCACCTGAGGACGGCTGCTTGCGTTATTATGTTATATTTTTATTATTTTATTACTTACCTTCTACGTGACTTTACCGAAAGAACCAAGAAAACACATTTGGCAGGTCGTGTGTGGTGGAGTAAAGTGTAAGCACTCCCGCCTTCTTCCAAGAGGGTCTGTCCAGCATGCAAGAGTGGATCAAATGCCCTCTAGAGGCGCTTTTTAAGAGTTTCTTCTAGTTGAGACTATTCTGCCAGCAGTGCCGTGAGCAGGTAAATGCAGGGCTACACCTTTGCTCTCTTGGAGTGCCATGGTGACAAGATGTTAAATACCTCGCCTGGTATGTGGGAGATGTCGGGGGTTCAATCCCAACCCTGATGCCTGTATATTTAGAGTTTGCATGTTCTCCCCATGGTTGTGTGGAATTGTCTCCGCGTCTTTCGTTTTTTTCCCTCCACATTTAGAATCGACGTTTAGAGTATTTGGCTGCTATAAATTTCCATGTAATAAGCCACTTGCGTTGAGCTGTGATTTGTGGCCTGGTTGCTTCGGAAAAATATCTATATAGCTCAATTGGCCTTACCTGGTCAAATAAAAATGGTTTACTTCAGGTATATTTTGTAACCCGTTTCTTTATGCCGTCCTTGCAGATCCTCCCGAAGCTGTAAGCCTCGAGGTGTTTCCGAACTTCATCAAGGAGGGAGACACCGTCACGCTGACCTGCGTCACTGATGCTTTCCCACCTCCCACTTACACCTTTTTCAAGGTGCGTGTGCTGGGCCTCTTCTGTTGTTGATTCGTTTGCTGATGAAGCCGCTAATTTAATTCCTCCATTTATTTATTGGTTAAAAAGTATGCATCCTTCTTTATGAATAACAATGTATCCATCTTTCAAAAAAAGCAAGCTCAGAACTTTTTTTATTGTCAAGAGTTACTATAAACTATTTGAATTCTCCCAAGTTCGGCCCACTGAGCCTATATGGCTATATTTCAGAAGCGACCTGGCCACAAATGATAGCTGAACAAAGTGGCTTCTCGCGCAGAAATTTATAGCGGCTACATATTTGAAATGCATGTTTCTAAATGCGGAGGGAAAAACCGGAGGACCTGGGGAAGAATCCACTCAACCATGGGGAAGGAGACATGCAAACTCCAAATTTACAGGTGTAAGGGTCGGGATCAAAACCACGACCTCCTGCATACCAAGCAAGGTAGTTAACATCTCGCTACCGTGGCGCCCTCAAGTTAAGGACTCATTCTGACTGGAAAGAAGCAGGGGGCCTCTGGTGTTGCTCTTGAACTATTTATTACATGACATGACGCATGTAAACAAAACGGAATTCCAGGTACATTATGCTTTCATTCCACCAGAAGAGAGCAGCATATTTTTACTTTGAATATATGTGACACAAGCCCATACCAGCTCATCGTACGGACAGGGGGAATTATATAAAAAAATGCAGTCCTTGATATGGAATAACTTTTATCTGTAGATCGGTCTGTCAGTCACAGCGTTTTCGTCATACAGAGAGGTCACAAGTGACGCGGGTGGTTGAGAGCAAAGCCTAGCCATGCTTCAGCGCACTCATGCAGTATAGTTTTATTAAGGATTGTAGTTTAGCAAACGAATTACCCTATTTATATGGCATTCTCGTGCTGGCTTGTTATCAAATATGCTTTCTAGTATTTCTGGGTTAAATAAAGTAGCAGGATGGCAAACCAGTCAATGAATGGAGCCTTTTTTAGTAATGGGATTCCTAGGAAATTAAAAACTCACACATACAAATGAGTAGACCCGGACATACGCATGCATGGACATCAAACAAATACTTTACCAGCCTGTTACAGGTGAGCATGTTCTGTGGCAGTTTGGGTACTGCACCCTGAGTGGAGAATTTCTCCTGCTGGGCCAGTTAAATGTATGAGCTTGCACTGACACGGGCATTAATTCTCATGCGTATGTGCTGGTATGCAAAATGTAAATGCTTTTTTGGAAATACCGTGTTTTATTGTCAGTCTTGCAAGAAAAGCCTCCAGATATGAGAATAGGTATGTCAAAGCTGTGTGATATTTCCAAAGTGATTGGTTTGGTAGTTTTCATGAAAGCTTGTGAAGTGTCATCAGATGGATGGATGAATGGACAAAACCAGTATTTTTCAGGTGTGGCAATAGGTCTATCGACTTTGTTAAAATTGCAGATGCATGGAATAGATTTAAATTCCGCAGACTTGGCAACATACGGAGGTTAAAGACAACATTCAAACTGTTAAGAAACGTACGTGGGTTTGGGCAGGATATGTCACTATAATGACGGCTGATGGTTCAGAATAGTGGCGGAGCCATCAGCTAAAGAATGGAATGCATCCGAGAGGCTGTCAACCAAGGAAATTGATTGATGAAATCGGCACGTGGCGTGTACTGTGTAATATTTCTACATCACAGAATTGTGAGATGGCAGCGGCTTTGTGAGGCTTTAATACAGCAGTGGATTGATCCTGGCTCATGATGATTATAACTTGGGAACATTGTTTTGTTAAAATACATACAGTAAAACCTTGGATTGCGAGCATAATTCGTTCCGGAAACGTGTTTGTAATCCAAAGCACTCGTATATCAGTTGTGATCACGTGACGCTCGGCAGACAAAGTGTATACACGTACAGTACTACTCGTATTGCAAGACCTCGCTCGTTTATAAAATTAATATTCATTTAAAATTTTGCTCGTCTTGCAAAACACTCGCAGACCAATTTACTCGCAATCCAAGGTTTTACTGTATACACGAACAGTCCTCGACTTGCGAACATGATTCGTTCCAGAGACCCGTTCGTTAGTCGGAATATGGTAATCTACTGTATTTAAATGCGCGCGCACACACAAACACTCTTTCCCGGCACGAGGCTGACTCGTTACACCTCGCGGAGGATCGCTCGGCTGAACAAAAAGTGCCGCGGTTCAATTTTCAAGTGAGAGTTCGTGGTTTAAGTCGATGTTTTAAAAAAAATCATGTAAACCGGTTCTTAAGTGCGGGTGTAAGTCGAGGACTGCCTATATATAACTTGAAACATGAATTTCATTCCTGCTTCAGGGGTCAACTCGAGTTGCCGCAGCGTGTAATAACAACACGTGCAAGATTCCGTACATCAATCGGCATCAGGGCGGAGTCTACAAGTGCGAGGCGCATTACACAGCCTCACCCATGCAGACCACAGCCAAGGCAGAGCGCCAGATAAACGTGCATTGTAAGTACTCGTGTTTAACACAACAACACTCTTTGTCCATTATAAAATGCATCAGTGGTAATAGAAATAGACCTGTGCGCCTCGACCTGTCTGTGTTTTACCCCAGATATTGAGAGACTCCGAATAATGGGCATTCCCGATGGGGAAGTCAACGCAGGGGATAACATCACGATGACGTGCAGCGCAAGCTCATCTGGGAATATGACCTACCATTGGAATAAGGTACCACCAGGGACTCATTTTAGTTGGATCTGTCCAGAATTACGACCTGGAAAACATTTACGCAGCCGCCACAACTCATCCAGTATATCTCTTACTGTTTGGCTACTAATCACGTGTTTACTTCAGTCTATCGGCGACCTGAAAAAATATCCAGTGAGAATTTAAGCTCTGGGTGTCATTTTAGTTCGGCTATCAGAACATCACAATTGTCAATATGTCATCATTGATTATTATCTTTTGTCATTTTTAACTCCGCTTCAACGTCTAATTTACACAGACTGATATTACAACATTAGTGATTATCATTATGATTGTTCATCTTAAGTCATGGTTTCATCAATGACATCATAATCATCATTGTAATGATTTGTAACACATTAATCGGTGTTTTTTAAATGGGGTTGACTGGATGAGGAGGGGAAGAACTGAACTTGCTTCCGTGACTAAAGCCTTGCTGGTCTTTGATTTGATCATGTCTTAATGCCATGGCTGAATTAATGTATTAATTATTAACATAGTTTTTATATTCGCAAGTTATTTGTGATTTTATTGTGCACATAGGACATTAATTGTGAGCATGCATTTAACTCCTGCTAAAATGTGTATGAATGAGGCTCATTTGTAATGATTTTCGCTTGTGAAGGATGGCGAACGAAAAGAAGACGGCAGCGTTCTCACTCGCCTCCACGTGTCTTCATACGATTCTGGGTCGTACACGTGTGTTGCTCAATTGGCTGAAGGCTCGATGTCTGTGGACAAAACAGTGACCATCACCGTGAAGGGTATGCACAGCTCACAACTCAACCTGCCTTGTACATGTGTGCCCTCTCACCCCAAGACAACCATTCTGGTGTGGAAAATGTATACGTATGTTTGTTGAACTTTTGCACCACAAATCGTTGTGAAGAATGTGACAATTTGGAAACAAGTTTTCCAAGAAACTTTCAGCAGTCAAGTATGCGTGGTGAAATAGTATGTTTATGGGCAAACATCAGTCTGTTACACATTTGGGAAGTAATCATATGGATGATTGGTTTTAGTGGAAGGATGAAAATAAGGGGTAGTGGAAGTGATAGTGTAATTTTAATTTGGAGGTGTGGTTTTCTAAAATTCCATTACAATAAAAATATATTGAGTTTCAATGATGGTAAATGCTCATCAGGTATACTGAGATTAAATTATAAACATGACCTCATGAAATTTCATTTCTCCCTTGTTTGTACATTCCTGTACTTTGTATGCCACGTGTTTGAGAATATGAAATAGCTTTGATTACATTGTGCCTGTCTGTGTGGTATGTTTAGGTTTAGAGATGTGGATCATTATAGCATGTGGTGCTGCTGCTGCTGTCGTCGTATTAATAATACCATTAAGCATTGTGCTTATTTGCAAAAAAAAGTGAGTATCACCTTCCTTCAGCCATGCACACTTTATTTTCACTGATCTCTGAAAAGACCAAATCAAGAATTGCCCTGTTACTTACTCACAGAGTGAGTAAGACGTATGGTATCTAGCGCCGCGGTAACAAGATGTTAACTACCTCACATGGTGTGCAGGAGGTCATGGGTACGACCCTGACGCCTAATATGTTTGGAGTTTGCATGTTCTCTCTTGTGGATCTTTTTCTGGGTCCTCCGGTTTTTCTCTCCACATTTATAAATATGCTTTAGAGTATTTGGCTGCTATAAATTTCCACGTGATGAGCAACTTGGGCTATCATTTGTGGCCAGGTTGCTTCTAAAAAAGTGCTATCTCGCTCAGTGGGCCTTACCTGGTCAAATTTAAAAAGTTTTTTCATTTAGCTTTAGTTAACAAATTGATGAGTCCTTTTTATATGGTGCACCTATGCATCTTGTTGTTTTTGCCTATTGCATCTTGGCCTGTTCTCTGCGTTGTCGCTTCATGTGTTCTTCTGGTGGAGTTCTTGCTAATGTCGTGCTTGTACATGTGCGTAGCAAACGGGGTGAGATGACCGTAAACGAAGACCGCAACGACACCGTGCCAGAAGAGATTCCATTGACAGATGTTGAAAATAGGACAGAAGAGAAGAATTCCACGGCTGACGCTGAAATCGCAGCAGGTAAACCTGGTACGTAACTGTAAGTACAGCAAATTATTGGTGCACAGTGACCATATACACCTTACAAATGCACACTTTTTCACCGCCATTGTGTACCTACACCGCTGATACGTACAAGTGCGTACACGTTTAAATACAGAAATATTAATATTTACGTACAAAGGGTACGCGTGCATGTATTAACTACAAATTTATATTTTCGCTGTAATATATGGGGTGGAGGGGGTAGCGCAATAAATAACCCATTGGAATGTGAGCTATGAACACGTTGACTCTCATTCAATTCCTGGCCACGGCTAACACCAGTGGTGAGTGATATCTGAACTGGTCCTGGGCGCGCACTCCCTTCATTCACCAACCTGTACTGACCGTCGTGAATTATGATCAAGCATACCTTTCTATCCGAAAGGCATGGGGGAAGGGCTTCATCCAGCGGTGGATCGATAAAGTTACATACGTTACATTATTGTAATATACGTAATTTTGTACATACATAAATAGTAGAAAAGAGAGGTATGGAAGCATGTGTGGTTAATGATGACGTGATACCTTGTGATAGGTGTTTATTTGTTTTTTGAACATCTTAAAAGCCTATATTGCCAGAAAAGCAGAAGCATATTCTTTTTCATACCTAAAATAGTTATTTCAAATAACTACGCTGTGACGTTTGTGCACGAGATGCATTTTTCTTCTCAATTTATTTACAGATGTCATCATCAATACATGACAGGTCGTGCTCAACTCAAAGCCACAATGACGATCAGCAAAGGAATATCTTCAAAACAACACACCTCAACCTCAAGTTTGGATCTCGTCTGATAGCTCAGCCATTGTGTGCTTGACTTACACTGCTGATTTGTGCCAGGTTCCATTCCCACTGTTGCCTGGCCCATAGCATTGGGGCAACATCATTTCCTGCCTAGAGGCCATGGATGGCCACTGACAATGTCGACTAAATATTTGCACTGAACGATGCATGTCTGCGGACGGGAAAACATTAATATATACGACAAATTCACATTCGAGTCTGTTAAGCATGTGCTGCAGCTGAATTGTGTTGGCGATAATGTATGCATTTATTGCCAATATGCAAACTGTGCCACTGGAGTTGAGGACTGAGATGAGGAAAAATGCCCATCTGCAACGCCCAACAGTCGGAAGAGAATCAAGTGATACGCCATAGAAGGCACTGGGGGATGACACAACAGAACTACTTCAAGTTTATCTCTACAGCAGACCTTTCGTCACCATTAACAGCCAATATCGATGCACTGCTGGACGAAGGCATCCCCCAAGCTCTCACCATTCCTCAGAGTCTTGATGAACCCAACACTAAAACAAATAACTACATGCATATTAATTATCGTTGTTTGTGCACCACGATTTCTTGCCTTACATGGTTCATCCATTTACAAATGTCGATCTTTACATGTGAGCTGGGATAATAATCTGTTAATTCTTGGGGGGGCAATTTAGTGCCACAGTGAGCACATTGATGGCCTCTCTGGGCAATTGCGGTGGCATGATTCAGGTCCCTCTGGATCTCAGTGTGGCTGGTCTTAAATTTGTAACTGTAGGGGAAGCATGGAAAGCTGTAGCTTTAATCTCATTGTCCCTACAGAAATCACCTTAATGTATTTAATTGGCATGCGAGCTACTGGAATCGGTTATAGAGAGAAGCTGTATGCCTGAGCCCTCCTGACAGTGAACTAAACCCATCCAGAAAATGGCTCCAGACTTGAGACATCACATGACTCAATTTAACCTCCAGGTGCTGCCCTCTATCTGCACAGACAGACAAAGATCCCCTGTATAGCCTCAACAGACTGTTGGGGCAAATGCTGTAGGCAAGCACCTATAAAGGCTGGCATGGCACACGAGAGTGTTGGACGACAGCACCACAGGCTATTTGCACGTGCATTTAAGTGCTGTACTTCTGAAATGCTGGTTTTTACACACTGCTGTGATTTAACTGGCTGATTTGATTGGCATAACTGCACATAAAAGTCAGGCTTTGAACTAGGGTTTTAAGAGATGTTCGCTTGACATCCCTTGGAACAGTTGCCGAGCCACCCGGCCATATGTAACTTCTCATTTTGAGGTGTCGCTGGTTAGGAAGTCACCAGGAAAAGTGCTTTTGCATGTGTTATTCAGCTACATGTGTTATTCAGCTAGATGCCTGACATTTCACTGGCTTTGCTTGGAGAATCTTCAGGAACTGAATATTGAAAACACTGGAGCTATACAGCACAAATCAAAAACAATCTACGTAATGTGTGTGCATAATTGCAGCTTGGTTAGTCTGTAAACCTGCATAAATTTTTGTTGAAGTTTGTGTCCAAGTAGAAAGTGTGTGTGTACATATTTACATTTTTAATATTACCACTCAGTATTGCTGTACTTTCCAATAAGTTGTGGTTGTGCATCAGCGTTGAGTCATGAATGGTGAGAAGATGTCTGTAACTGATTACACGGTAAGAGAAATTGGGTTGCACAATAGGGGAAGTTGTGTCTTGAAGACTGGCCAGCCGTTTGCCTTCTGCATCCCTCGATATACAGAACAGTTTCCTGCAAAGTTGTCTCTAAAGCGAGATTCCACAAATCGCATTCTATTTTCTCATTAACTTTAAATTGTAATTGGAGATGCGTTACTAACAGAAAAAAATTGGGCCCAAAGACAACGTAAAATCTCACTTAAGAATGCAGCAAACCTTTGCCAGAAGCTGGTGATTGCCGTGTTAGGAGGAAATTGCTGTTTGTTTAATTTTTTTCTATAACTTGTAATTAATGGCCTTTTTCCAGACATCTGGACTTGCACCGAAGAACGTTTAAAAAAGAAATGGTTAAATCCTGTCCAGTGAGTACAGCACTGGGCGTGATCGACACATCGGAAAAACGAGGCGAGCTTGAGCGACGCGAATAATGCCGGAAACCAGTAGAGGTGTAAAACAAGTGTGCCTCGTGCAACACTATCTGCAGCAGCAGTAGCAAGTCGTGCGCTCAGGACAAACGCCAGACCGTGCATTGGTCGACCCCCCCCCATTAAAAAAAAATTAAGAGATAAAAAATTCCGTAAATGTGAATATTTTCGTAACTGTATATCAAATTTGTTGCGCAATGTATAAGTTGCGTTACAGCGAAATTCCTCACGGCCGCATCGAGGTGCTGAATAAGCGAGGGATGGCTCCTGTTCAGACGACGGATGGGCGTTATGACCCACAACATTGCTGGTGAAAATGTCCATGTTATTTATTACCATAAACCTCTTTCATCGTATATAAAATGACCGATTCATATTTGTAAATAATGAAGGTGCGTATGCACGGGGTTTGTGGTTGGACTTGTGTAAGTGCTGTTTCATTCGGCTGCATGCATCAGCAGATTTTGTGAAACTAATTTAGCTACATTGTTTTGAATGATAGTTTTGCTTGCATAGGAAGTCGTTTGCTTTTAATGCATGGCTTGGTTAATCAAATAATACCAACTTGCTGTATTAAGAAATCATACGTGACATAATATCGAAGATGATAGTGATCCATAGGTGGGTACTGGGGATTGACATGGCATCTAGCAGCCGACTGGTAAAGGACTGCTATGAAATACACCAGGACTCCAAAAATCTTCATTGATATTTGGGGACCATATCGTGGATCATGTAATCCGTGGAGCACCCGGGGAGGTTAATCCTGAAATCCATGAAATATTTCGCGCTGGCACAGTGTGCTACAGATTACGCGGGTAAAGTGCTGCGAGCGACTCCGTTAAGCCACATAAAATGTGTGATGATCGGGGAAGAACGGCACGTGACTAACGACTCCATCCTATATACATTTGTGAATTATAGTAGATATTTATTTTTTTACCTACGATGGTAAATCTGCCATATTGGTCTATGATATAACAATTATAATTGAAATTAAATTATAAAAAAAATCTGTGCAATGCACCGAAGTTTATATTTTTGCAGCTCCGTTTGGTTCTACAGATCTTGTGTCTGCAGATCAACTTGAGCCACTGCAGATGCGTTGTCTCTGCAGCTCTGATTGTCTCTGCAGATCTCTTTGTGCCACTGCAGATGCGTTGTCTCTGCAGCTCTGATTGTCTCTGCAGATCTCTTTGTGCCACTGCAGATGCGTTGTCTTGGCAGCTCTGATTGTCTCTGCAGGTTCACATCTCACAAATAAATCACTGGAGAGAGAGGCATCTTTGCATTACGCAGAGAGACTTGGTTGAGTGATTGGATTAGAAGCCAAGGGAATGGCTGCTTTATGGAAGTGGTCACGGACCACAGGTAATCCACGAATTACAAGGATTCGTAAATTTGTTTAGATTTGCTGTACATCGCTGCGTCATTGTTTTATTTACATTAATATCGAATTTCTTAGGAATGGTCAGCAAAATAAAATGTCCGATAAAGTAAGGTTTCGTTTGTATATGTAGTTGTGCGTTTTATTTGAAAGTTGTGTTTTTGCCTTTGTAATGTTGCACTTATATAAATATTAAAACTATGTGTTCACATTTTAGTCGAGCTCTGTGTGATTGTCATGGCTGTAGACACAATTTTTTTTAAAGTTATGACTCTACTGTACATATTCTAGTGCAGTATATGCATGTTGTTGAGCTGTAATGACACAAGCTTAGTCACAATTATGTCTGACAATTAACTTTTGTCAAACACGGAGTATTCCCAAAGGCAGCATATGCTGGCCAAACATGCAACAAACAAGGTTAATATCACAGCATGCCTTTTTTAACCTTGAGACGTGGAATAAATTATCAGTAATAGCAGCAGCAATGGTAAATCCATTACTGGAAGAAGGCCTCCTCAAGCCTATGATGTAGCAATCCACTCAGCACCTGTACATGAGCTAATTTCATTGCTCCACCGCGATGAATATCCTCGGTTGCTTTCTATACCTCAGCTGCCACTTATTATCATTGACCAGCAGCTATGTGTCCTGCACAAGCCCACTCATGTAATAAACACAGCTTATAATATTGTTGTAAAACAAGAAAACAAGTTTGGTGTTGCAGGTGGAGGAAGTGTGTAAGAGGCCACAACATAACGAGTGGGGCTTTTGAGATTCAAGGAGTGTGAGTGCTGATATTTATATTAACTGATCAGCAGAGTCAAATTTAGTTATTACATCCCTTGGCAGTGATCGTTGACTGTCTAGCCAACCCTTTGCCAATGCGCTGCTGGACGGTAGACTTCCTATGGCGTGTCACGAATCACCATAACACTTCTTTGATCGTGTCACACACTGATTTGGCCATACCTTACCACACTGATGAATGTGGGATCGTAAAGGTGGAGCCCTGTCCCGGTTCAGTTATCACCTGCCACTCACGTTGGCAGGAAATCAAATTCGGGTCGTCTGGTTCAAAGCGTTGTGCCCTAAACCACTCTACCACTACAGGCCATATTTAATGTGCTGGTTGCAGTTTCTCACCTTACACTGGCCATGAGAAACCTAAGTTACGTGTAGCCAGGTGCGGCTTTTATTTTATTTTAAGTGAATGCAATGGTCATCAGGAATTGCACTTGCAAGAGCCCACGTGCACATTCGCACGTCCCCGCAATTTATATTTGGGCGGATTCCGTGCTGGTGAGATTGAGCTGCAGTGTTGTTGCGCCGAGGGTGAGTGGTCGCTATTGCGGAACACTTTTGAAAGAAAGTTTTGCCGTTCGACAAACCTCTGGTGCTCAGCTATTGTGGAGTCGCCCACAGAACAGAACACAACGCGAAGTATCCACTCTTAGTCTCCGAACTTTATGGCTCATTGCCTACTTAGCCGACCTGTTCCACCTCGTTAGGATCTGCGTGGGAATAGAGGGACAGGGCGGACCGGCTGTATCTGCTAAGGATCTACTTTGTTCACACGATAGTAATAGGGTTTTTACCATTTCAACTGGTTCAAAAACTGACACCTTTATACAAGGCATCATGTTTGCAATAACCACAACCACAAGCAGTCGAAATGCAAACAAAAAACACAACTCTGATAATGTATGTGCACTGTCCTTGAAATTGATTGGTCCACACCCGAGACAGCTTTTCTTAGAGCCGAGTCTCACATGATGTTGGACCAGATGACGCCAATGCAAACATGACTCCTTGTGTAGAGGTGATACGCGCTGGGATGAGGGATCGTATGCCAGCGAGTAATGATTGGCTGTGTATGTGGTGACGCGCGCTGACGGTGGAGGATCAGGGGTCAGCGCGGGGTCGTGGGTTACGGGGTAATGATTGGCTGTGGGCCGGTGACGCGCTGAGAGGGAGTGACCGGGTGGCAGCGCGGTGTGATTGGCGGAGGAGCGTTAACACGCGCTGGGGAAAACGGATCGTAGAGAGAGTGCGTCGTGATTGGTTCACTAAGGAGCGATGCTCACGTCGACGTACGCATCAGCTCCGTCTCTCGTGAGCAGGGGCTATAAAAGGGGATGCACACAGGCGTGAGGGCAGTGTGTAACCAGCGAAGAATGAAGATGGGGATGAAGACCTAAGGCCCTGCGGTACCTAGTCCCGCTGTCCTAACGGGACCGGGACTCTGTGTAACCCAGAGGCGAGTGTAGTGTGTGTAGCCATAGGCATAAGGTCTACACGAGCCGAATGCAGTGTGTGTAGCCAGGGACATAGGGTCTACACGAGTCGAGTGTATTGTGTAGCCAGAGGCATAGGGTCTACACGAGTGAAGGGTATCGTGTGTAGCCAGAGGCCTAGAGTTTACACGAGATTAGTGGAGTGTGAAGTCGGAAGAAAGGAGACCACACGTTGTATTTTGACACGTAAAGATTTAATAAAAAGTGTGTTCCCGTCAAGAAGTTCCTGCCGTCAATTCCCATACTTCAACTGGCGTCAGAAGTGAAACGGTCTTCCAAGCATGGATACAAGGAGGAGCCGTCGGACCCACGGGATTGACCACGGGGACAACCTCGTCGACGCGGGCCAGCTGGCATCGGGGGGTGAGGAAGAGGAGTTGCCCACGGGGCAGGATCCGCCGACGGCACCGGACGAGCGACGGGGGACTGACGCCGTGCTTCGCGAAGAGCACTCCCGTCTGGCGGAGCTGCTGCTCGCCGCCGCGTCCATCCTGGCGGAGATCAGCTCGTCGGGAGGAGCGGGGACGGCGGCCGACGTTCTACAGGGTCGCCCTGCAGATTCCCGCCAAAACGATTTGGCGATGCCCGCCATTTCATCTGCACCGACTTTTGGCGGGAACGGCCATCACCACGTGGCAGCGGTTCTCCATGCGCGTCCGCTGACGTCACCAACGCGCGCGGCGGACCGCCATCACACACCCGCCGATGGGGCCGCCATCTTACACACCGACGGGGCGGCAGAGAGGAAGCACGAGGAGGAGGACGACTTCATCTTTCAGCAGCGCCTTCCCACGTTGTCAGCCTTCAAGGCGGAAGGCGGGGATTGGAGCCAATTTCAGCGCAGATTTTTGGCGCATCAGGAGATGTCCGCCTGGTCCGACGCTACGGCACTGCGGGCACTGCCTGCTATGCTGGACGACAACGCGCTCGCGGCCTTCACGTCCGCACGCAGGTCGGACCGCTCCACGCTCAAGGATGCGCTGGCTCTCATGGCCAAGGTCTATGGTCCTCCCTCGGCGTGCCGCCATCATTTTTATGCAAGACGGAAGGCGGACACGGAGACCGTGCTCGCCTACCGCACGGCGTTGCTTGCTCTCGCCGACGCCGCGTTCCCTCGTATGGACGAGGAGGGCCAAGATGCCATGGTTTTTGAGCAGCTGCTCAAGTTGGCGCAGGACCTGGGGGTCCCCATCAACACGGCCGATGAGACCGATATTTCATCCTTACGGGTCGCCACAAGCATACAAGCGCACGAGGTCCTTCAACGTAAACAGGGAGTCGTCTGCAACGCTGCTGTGGCCTCAACTCCGGGCCCAGTTGTCACCGTGCCCCAAGTCGTCAGCCCACGAGAGGAGGCGTTCATCGCGGGACGACCGGGGGACTGGAGATCGGGGGGTCGTTCGCCTCTGCGAGCGGCCCGCAAGCTGGAGCAACCGAGATCTCCGACGACTGTCATCACCTGCTATAACTGCGGCCTCCGGGGCCACGTGGCCTCCGGTTGCCGCGCCCCACGTCAGCGCGCCATGGGACCTCGGCTGGACGACGACCAAGGCCCCAAGTCGTCCCTGCAAACCCCGGTGTCTCGGAACTGACAGCTGCCGACCACCGGCGGCCGGATCTTGAGCGGCCGGAGCCACCGGACGGTCGCCAACGTCCCGTCCCATACGACGGACCGGCCAGACGGACTCGCGCTAGGTCGCGCTACTTTGTGTGACCTACCACGTGAGGAGTCGAGGCAGCCGGAGCGCCTCGGCACTCCGTTTAGTCGGAGTGACACTTGGCGTGTTCGTTTTACGGTGTTCGCTTTTACTGTATTGTTCGTCGGGCTGTATATTGCTTCTTATTTAAGTGTTGTTGTTGTTGCGTTACGGGGCACACTGGGGGGGTGGGGTTTCTTTATTACTGCGTTGACGTTAGGTTGTGTTGTTGGTTAACAGCCGGGCCGGCTGCAAGCTATGTGGGAGGGGGTGATGTAGAGGTGATACGCGCTGGGATGAGGGATCGTATGCCAGCGAGTAATGATTGGCTGTGTATGTGGTGACGCGCGCTGACGGTGGAGGATCAGGGGTCAGCGCGGGGTCGTGGGTTACGGGGTAATGATTGGCTGTGGGCCGGTGACGCGCTGAGAGGGAGTGACCGGGTGGCAGCGCGGTGTGATTGGCGGAGGAGCGTTAACACGCGCTGGGGAAAACGGATCGTAGAGAGAGTGCGTCGTGATTGGTTCACTAAGGAGCGATGCTCACGTCGACGTACGCATCAGCTCCGTCTCTCGTGAGCAGGGGCTATAAAAGGGGATGCACACAGGCGTGAGGGCAGTGTGTAACCAGCGAAGAATGAAGACGGGGATGAAGACCTAGGGCCCTGCGGTACCTAGTCCCGCTGTCCTAACGGGACCGGGACTCTGTGTAACCCAGAGGCGAGTGTAGTGTGTGTAGCCATAGGCATAAGGTCTACACGAGCCGAATGCAGTGTGTGTAGCCAGGGACATAGGGTCTACACGAGTCGAGTGTATTGTGTAGCCAGAGGCATAGGGTCTACACGAGTGAAGGGTATCGTGTGTAGCCAGAGGCCTAGAGTTTACACGAGATTAGTGGAGTGTGAAGTCGGAAGAAAGGAGACCACACGTTGTATTTTGACACGTAAAGATTTAATAAAAAGTGTGTTCCCGTCAAGAAGTTCCTGCCGTCAATTCCCATACTTCACTTGTATAAAAAAGGTGTCAGTTTTGTTGCCAGATTAAAGGGTAAAAAAACAATTATCATATTTTGCTACTGGCAAAGGAGGTTCCAATGGAATATTTACAGGCTCGTATACAACTCCCCCCCCTTGCACCCCCTTCTTTCACTCCCACGGGTTTGTGTCTCCCACCGGCATATTTACCTTTAACCTCCTCCCTCGGCCTCCAATGATCGTGACATTTGTAGAGGAAACTCGACTCACCAACACGCTGAGAGGGGTAAGGGTTCCAGTCCGATTATTTTATTTTCGTCACACACCCAGCTCCCTCCTTCACGCACAGCTTTCTCCTCTCGTCCCTCTTCCGACGTGCCCTCCTATCCCCACGGCCCCTTCTCCCAAATCCCCCTCCCCCCACTTTCCCCCATCGTTGTTACCTCATTGCCAGCCACCAATCACGTTTTGTCACATCTCGGACAATGTTTCCTCATCTCCCACCACCAATGCCCCGTCAGGGGTCCCTAAGATCTGGGGAGGCAGATCTTCTCTGATTTCTCAGGTCGAGGCTTTGGTCTATGGGTGACCAAGCTTTTTTCCCCGTGTAGCCCCCAGTCTATGTAACGCTCTTCCACCAGATATCACAATCTCTGAGTTTGTGGACGTAAAAAAAATGCGTCTTAATAACATTTATATGCCTCCGTTTCTTAAATTTTTAGTTCGTTTAGTAATTGGATTCTTAAAATGTATTTATAATATTATGTTCATCTGCTGCTGCTGCTGCTGCTTTGTCCTGTACAGCGCTTTGATATCCTTGATGAGAATCGCTAAATATAAATGGAATTTGTATTATTATCGTCCTACGGCGGACTTACTCCCGGCCACGTCGGTGCGGGGATTAACGTCAGTGTGTGGGGGGTAAGGGAATGCTGTGAGGTTATGGGAGGACTGTTACTCATTGATGAATTAATTAATTGTTCATCGAATCACTTGGAAGGGAGGCGGGGGGGTGAGGCAGCAAATTGAATACTTTCCTTCCCATTTTAACGCACGAGTGCGTACGCAAATTTTCTATCTGCTTAACACGAAGTTAAGAAATTTTTTGCCGAGAATTCTTAAGAACATAAAACATCTTAACATCCTGAGTTCATGTCACCGAGTTAATTCGGATGAGCAAAGGGAGCGAAGTTGACTCCTAGCTAGGCAGTTGTGATTTAAGCTCGACAGTGTAATGCTGCCATGCTAGTGTAATAAAAGACTCCATCAGGCACTGCTGGTCTCCGTTTATCTTTTATTTAGGTTCTTTCTCCGCACCCCGCTGGTCTCCTCCGCAGACCAGCGTTGTCTCGCGCGCGCCCCGCACGCGCTCCCTCGTCAGCTCCTCCACTCTTCCTCACACCCCGCTGGTCCTGATAAGGGACCAGCGTCTCCTCTCGCGTGCCGCGCACGCTCCTCCGTTAGCTCCTCCACTCCCGCACTCCGCACACCGCTGGCCGACGGCGTGCTGAGGTCCTTCGGCCATGTGGCCGATGGCGCGGATCTCCTCTCACCACCCAACGTGGCTCAGCCTCTTAACTTCCCCAACTGCCACGATCTCTTCCGGGCTCCCACTTATATCCATTCCCCGCACGTCAGATCCGGCCTTCCCATACTACCCTGCTGGCTCCGCCCCCATTCACCTCGCCTCCCATTGGAGCCGAGGTGAACGGTGGCCCCTCCCATACGCCCCGCAGACCAGGCTCCGCCCCCCAATATCCCGGGCCGTGTGATTGGGCCAGAGCCCAGCAACAACCCGATTTACGCTCGCATTACACTAGGGCCAGGGGTCCAGCATGACAACAAAGTTGAACACAAGATTTCGATTTAAAGCTTTCGTGACTGCAGGGATTCATATTCTTGGTTCTTTCGGTATAAAGCCACGTAGCTGGGAAATAATAAAATAATACAAATAAAACATAATAAAAATTCTCACGACGTTTCGATTGCAACACAAGCAATCATCATCAGCTAAAAAATGTCTTGCTTTAGTTTTCACACCTGATGATGATTGCTTGTGTTGCAATCGAAATATCGTGAGAATTTTTATTATCTTTTATTTTTATTATTTCCCTTCTACGTGACTTTACCGAAAGAACCAAGAATATGAACAAAAGATGGTACTGAACGAATAACGTCAAACCATATTTTTTTTGTAATCTCTATTTTAAGAACAGCACAAGCACAGTGATTTGTAAATGCCGCGTTGCAAATGATTGTTAGGCTTTTAGACGTTCCACCGTTCATCTCAAATAATTAGGTGGCTTTTTTTACTTTGCAGTTACAGTGTCAGGAGCCACGAAGCAGTCCTTAGAGAGCCGCATGCGGCTGCGGATGCTACTGACGCCTGTGCTAGGCTCTGCTATGCCAAAAAACACAACTTGCAAGCCATACATATGCCTACACACCCGTGCGTCTTTTCCTGGCCGTTGAGCCTAGAGACCGTGAGGAGAGTTTCCGTTTCTTACAATTTCACCCATCGACACCACCCTTTTCCGTTCCTTGGAGGCAGCGTTGAAAACATGAATGTTTCCATCGTCTCACTTAAGAGTTTAAGTATAATGGCCCGTATTGGCTTCGCTTAAGGTAAACACGTGAAAGTACTGAATTTAAAAGTTGTCCATGGTGAAATTCATACGACTGCAGGTTTTTTTTTTATAATTAATGCACGTTATGAATATTCATGTCTTTTTAACAAATGAGTTGTGTTCAGCCAGGTGCTGACAACAATTGACCAACCTCTGTAGTCTATGTATTACGATATTTAAGGCCAATTAATGTGAAAAGAAGCCAGAGCATCCTGACAAAAACACGAATGCGAAGTGGCAACACTGTATCATATATCAGGAACAGATATGTATAAAAACAATAATGGCATCACTCCAAACAAGTTTCCATCCAGGACGTGTACACAGCGTGGTGTTTTTGCTGCAAAGCATAAACACTGATGTATTTCAAACAACAAGATATATAAGTGACATATTTTATTCTGGCAGCTGTTGTTATTTAAGAATGTAAGCATTTGCGTGAGGTGAATAAAACAGAAAAGTTTGTTAATTTTAAAGTTAGAAATACAGTTAGCTGATTTAAAGCATTCAATTTTATTACATTACTTGACTTATTAAGTTGTTGGCATATAGAGTATTTTGAAAGCTTATAGTGGAATTGCAAGAACATAGCAATTTTTTGGTTTTTACAAAAACACAGATTTTTTTTTGGGTCATCTGGGTTTTCCCTCCACATTTAGAAACAGGCGTTTAAAGTATTTGGCTGCTATAGATTTCCACATGATAAGCCACTTCGTTGATTTATCATTTGGGGCCATGTCGCGTGGGAAAAAAGAGCTATGTAGCTCAGTGGGCCTTAGCCTTGAATTTTATTTAAATATAATTTATTTTCGTTAAAATGTAATTAAATAGGTCGCAAATACTCATGACGGATCGATCGAGGAGCACAGATAATAGAAATTGTAGATCATAGAAGTGCTAATAATAGATGAAAAAAATTAATTTATAATTTCAACACCAATATGTATCATGTTGACATTCATTTTAAATATTGAAATGTGCCTATTTTGAAAAAGTACTCAAAACCTCAAAAAGTAGACTGCATATTTGGCTTTTTTTGTTGATAAAAGGACAACCTGTTGCTAAACATTAATTTTAAACATATTAACAATAACCCAACAAGGAATTGGCCACGAAAGAAAATCTAACTAGGAACTGCTTTAGTAGTGAGACTTATTGAGGCTTTGATAGATAAAGAGCCATTATCTGAGGACATAACAATCCTTATCGCAAAAGTTGAACAAGTACTCCTGAAATTACGCACTACCAGGAAGCAATGTATCCGTCTGGATGTGTATAAAATACGTATTCTTTACGTGGAGGGAAAGATGGGAAGAAGACGCGCATGCATCTGGAGGCAACAGTTTCATGCTTATGCCTGGCCAGACAAAATCCACGCGCGCTACTGCCATCTCCTGGCACAGATAAGTTCGCAACCAGTAAGCACATTGTCTTTGCCACTAATTCACCACAATTCCTTGCTGATCTCGTCAAGAAGCATAACACCATCAGGCGAACTACGGTCATCCTTGCAGCGGCTTTTGGCGAGGCATCGAACAAAAACCGGGCAATGCATCGCGCGTTTTTAGATGCACTTCTGCGGCCGTCTGGAATGCTCTTCCTTTAGATATGAGCAAGTCACCGGAGCTTTGCACTTATAAATCTAGATTGAAAACTCATTTCTTTAAAACTGATTTTCTATACTCTTAGGTTTTTTTCGGTAAAGTCACGTAGGTAATTTTTTTTACTAAAGGTAATAATAGATTATTTTCTTTTCTTTATTATTTTATTTTATTTCTATTATTACTTTTAGTAATTTTATTTTATTTTTTTTTACCTCCGTGACTTTACCGAAAAAACCTAAGAGTATGAATCCTTGCAGTCACGAAAGCTTCAAATCTAGAACTGATTTTTTATGTTTAGTTTGTTGTCCTTCCCCCGCACCTCCGATTGGCACGGTTGGCTACGTACGGTGCGAAATAAGTTCAACATATAGTACATACGTAGGCATTTTCTTGCGTAAAAAAATGGGTAATATTTGACAATAGTTTGGGAAGTTCTGGGTCATAGCAAGCAATGGTAACATAGAAGCAGTAAAAAACTAAAAACAAACACACTCACTCGTATATCCAAAACAAAGACAAAGATCCCCTGTGTAGCCTTAACCGACTGTTGGGGCAAGTGCTGTTAGCGAGCACCTATGAAGGCCAACATGGCACACTTGGGCGTGGGTGACCAACACCACGCCCGGCCGCCTTTACCTCCCCGATGGTCATCTTTCTACACACAGCACCAGGTAACTCATTTGAGACCGAGTCGACCTAGGGGAGGCCCAGGACCGGTTCAGACAATCCTCACCGGTGTTGGTGGCCGTGAGCAGGAATCGATCTCGAGCCGTCGGGGGTCACAGTGCAGCGAGCTAACCACTGCGCCACCGCTCTCCACACACTCACTCACAGGAGTGGCGAATAACATCGAACTTTCACTTCTACGATATGTACAGGAACACTTTCACGCCGTCTCTTGGCCACATAGACACCCTTATCGCTTAAAGCACGCGTAGGAGGATCGCGTGCCCACAACGTTGCATTGAATGAAATGTTCAAAAGACACTGCACTCAAAAGTGTACAGCTGTAACCTTTAGCACAAATTATACAGAGTACAACGAGATACAGTCCACTATCAAAAAGAAAACACGGTACATCAATAAAATATTGCACTCTTAGAGTGCACTCAACGTATATATGCGTGACGCAAAGTAGTTGGTGTCCAGGGCAGGTGGAGGGCGAAGGCTGAGAGGCGACGGGTAACTAGAAAGGACGGACGATGCTGTCAGCGACGTAAATCGGGTCATGGTGTTTGCGAAACGACGTAAAATGGGGAGACGTAAATGGGGGGCATTGCGCGGTATGTGGTGCTGATCTGTGTATTTGAGTCTGTGCCTTCTTCAGAGCAGGGCAGAACAGGTTATGATCAATGGGTCATTCGCAACACACTGATCTAATTACATCATTCATCAGAGTACATTCGATTTGAACTGGTGGTGTGTACCATTTAATTACGTATTTATCGATGTGTTTGACTGGGGTTGATGTTCATTTATAAAGGCATATTTACAAGTGATAGATTAACAATGTATGCGTATGTTTGGTTATGTGTTTACGTTTGAATTGACACCACGGACACCCTTGCAAACGAGATGTTCCATCTCAAGGGATTCTTAAGCTGAAATAACATAATGGAGGACATCAAATAAACTGCAAATTTAAGTCATGGCAGTAAAGGTCTGCGAAAGCAAACACAATTTTTTATTTGGGAAACATTAGAATCAAGTGTTGTTTTGTGACTGAGTGACAGATGCTGCTCGTGTCATAGACACCGAGGAGTGTCATATTATTAAAATGTTCCATTTTAATTATTAAACATCCATGCATGAAATATATTGTATGGCACCGTCTTTGACTCAAGTCACACATTGCAGGTGCCCTCAGCTGTTCTTGTTTACATGCATTGATCCGCCAGGGCACGTGACCTGTGGGGGCTGATGAGGCGCTCTGCTTTCTGCTCCTGTTATCTGAGTCGTGCACATTTGCAGCTGTCCGTGTGTGCCCTGAGTCAGCTAAATTCACTGCAAACTCATTACGCCTTGTGGGGAATTATGGGTAAAACATATACAGTGTAATTAATATTTTTTGCGGGTTAAGTCGTGTAAAAATTGTGGAGTAAATCCTCATCCATCCGACACAGCCGTGAATATAAGTGTCACGTGAATTAAACGTGCTAAAGTTATGACTGCTTCAGGGACGCCAATTATGAATCGTATTGGGCGTGTGAGCCCACGTATAAAATACACAGCACAGGACTGCATCAGTAAAACTCCGTTCTGTGCTTCCACTTAGAAAGAAATATGTTTTAGTCTATTGGCCTGTTGGCTTTCCTGACCAATATTGTCCCGCAGTATTTATTTAAGCAAGTATACTCAGGACCGGTTTTGTCTTTCTGGGTCTCATCAGGAAAGTCATGCTTGTTAAACCAATGCTTCTGATTCTAGATTTTAAGCTTTCGTGACTGCAAGGATTCATACTTTTAGGTTTTTTCGGTAAAGTCACGTAGGTAAAAAATAAATAATAAAATAAAAATAATAGAAATAATAATAGAAATAAAATAAACTATTTATAATTTTATTTCTATTTCTATTATTTTTATTTTTACCTACGTGACTACCGAAAAAACCTAAGAGTAACAATGCTTCTGAGTTTGCAGACGTTATCAGCAGGTGCACTGCACCTAAACGATGGGACAATGTTCAACGAAAAGATCGTATTGTAGACCAACTCATTATGTGTGGTAGGGTATTATGGTTAAATCACGTATATAAAAGCAGAACTAGATTATGTGTCTTCACATATAAATAATACATTTTATTCCATCGGCCCATTGATTTCTCAAACTAATATTATCCATTTTTCGATTTAAAGCTTTCGTGACTGCAGGGATTCACGGAGAAGGGAAATAATAAAATACTAAAAATTAAACATATTACTTCCCTTTTACGTAACTTTACCGAAAGAACCAAGAATATAATGTTATCCAGTAACGATTTTTTAAGCAACAAATCTCTGAATATTGTTTTGACCTTATGTGCCTCATCTGCAGTGTCACTCCTTGTTCATTTCCTACGGTATTACAAAACATTCCACGTTTGTATGTGGGAGGGCACAAGTCACCTGCAATCTGCCTTAGCCAGTACGTGTCTATGGGCACCACTGCCAACCTGCACGACATGCGGAGAGTTGGTCGTGAGCGGCCCACCCAGTCGGTCCAGTGTCTCCTGCTGTGTCAAAGTTCACTTGCCTCACTCAGCTCGTTATCGCTCACCGATGCTGCAGTCGAGCATGGATTTTATTCTAGATTTGAAGCTTTCGTGACTGCAAGGATCCATACTCTTTGGGTTTTTTCGGTAAAGTCACGTAGGTGAAAAAATAAAACAACTAAATTAAATCACGACGTTTCGGAGGCAACACAAGCCTCCGTCTTCAGGTGGAACCGTCACAGCAAAATTACTGTATCCGAAACGTCGTGATTTAATTTATTTGTTTTCTTTTTTAACCTACGTGACTTTACCGAAAAAACCAAAGAGTATGGATTTTATTGTTTTATTTTTCACAACATGAATGCGTCTTAGATCTGTAATGGGTTCCGGAGACACTTGTAGAGGTAACTTCTTTATTACAATCCAACACTCCAACAGTCCTGATACTCTGTTGCAGCATAGGTACACAGCCTAGGTACACAGCCTAGATACACTACTGTGGCTACGCTCTGGAACTCGCCCTCACAAGGACGTTGAGCCGGGAGTTCCAGAGTCCCACCACTGGCCCTCACAGCGTCCCAGGGTCCTGAGATGGCTGGTCTTGGGTCTTGGGTCTTGAGCTACAACTGGCCCTGATCGGCCAGGGAGCTGCCCTTTTTATGCCTCGTCCCCAACGAGGGGTGGGGTTATGTGCGCCCCCAGATATCCCACAGAGCACACACAGCCCCCCCCATTGGTGGTGCCAAGGGGCTTAACTGGCTGGGTTGTCTGGGATCCCAGCGCCTGGCGCCAAGGGGCTTAAGCGTCTGGGTTGCCTAGGGTCCCAGAGCCCCCAGCAGCCCCTCCCTTCTTATGTCACTATAGATCCGCGGCGACCGGAAGGCCATGCCCAGAATCGGCTGAGTGACCTGCAGGTTGGACAGGTTTCCAAAGTCCAGCACTTTCAGCATCTCCTTGGTGTCCGGATCAACCTCAATCACTTCATGGTCGAGGGCCGATACCTCGGGCACGTTGATGGAGATGCCACGGACAGGGCCGCGCTGGATACGCTTCATCAGATGGGTTACATACCCTGCGATCTTGTTGCGGAGCGGCTTGCTGGGGATGATGGCAATCTCGTCGCACACGCGCTTGTTGGTGTGGAAGTCATTGCCCAGGCGGGTGTAGTACTTCTCGATTGTCACCCGCGCCGCCTTCTCGATCGTCTTGGTGCGTACGCGACCCATGTTGCCTGCGCGCCGAACGAGAGAAGGGGCCGAGGTGGGCACGGCGCGTGATGACAATCGGAATCAATAACACTGCATGTGCTGCCATCCACACCTTTGGAGCAAGCGTACAAAATGCTACGCAGGTAGTAATCCGTTTTTTTACAGGCGACCACTTTTTACAACCCAGCATGCGATGACAGTGCTTAGCTCACAACCAGATGGTTGTGAGATCATGTCCCGGGTGAGGATCCGACCCAGTCATCTATGTCTCTGGGTTTGATGAAATAAGTGCCACTTTGTAGGAGGTCAACAGTGGTTGTTCCAAAGATAGACTGTTAAGTGCCATGGGAATTTAGAATTTCCATTACTGATTCGGGACCACCAGTGAGGGATGGGTGTCACTTCATTGCTCATTTGAGATTCGCAAGTGTTTCTTGAGTAAAATAAATGAAGTGGTCAGTTCTGTGGTAGGAGAGAATACCAAAAGTGGCCTGCTGCACTGGTTTATATTGTTAAGGTGCCTGTGGAAATGCAGACAACATTTTTCGAATAATCCCAACACATCACTCTGGATAAGAGGAGTTCTGTATTCTGAAAAGCAGGATTTATATCATGAATGTCGAATTGATTTGAATCGATGCATCTTTGAATGCCAATCATTATATAAAACTACGTGAGTGTCCAATTAAAATACAAGTTACAGAAAGCTCAGACAAGGCCAATGTGTAATTATCGTACAAACTTAGTAAAACATTTTTAAATCAAGTATGCAAAACAAGCAAGCAATAGTAAAGGTGATCTGGGAAATTAAGAATATTTTTTACAGTGCACATTCACTAATCCGCACACTGCAATAAATGCCTTAAATATGAAGCTAATGCAGTGTGCAGATCATTGTAATATGCGACAACAATAATTAACTGCATTTATTCGATATAATAAAAAATACACTTGGACGGAGCATTACTCACCGTTAGCCTGTAACTGTAATAATTGCAATGCCACTGCTTGATTAGCTTGGAATTTCACAACGCCTCGTGGGGCCTTATTCTTTTGGTGTAATTATGTGCAATGAATGGCCTGCCTTTCAGAGATCACCACTATAAATAATACATTATCTTTTTGAAAAAAATGATGAAATCAAACGTGTAATACCGCAGATGAACAACATATTTTCGTGGTTGGGATATACTGTACATTGAAGGGACGATTCTTGTCACGTGCACCAGTTTATCTTTGCAGTCGCATGAGACATGACTAAAGATGAATTGCAGGCAAAGTGCAATTTAAAATTAATCATGGGAGATATAATCAAGTAAGCGCTGCACCATTACTGCATTTTCAAAAATGTATTTGCCTCTCATAGTTTTCGTGGAATGTACAGCAGTACATTAGCATATCAGATCGACACTTGAGATCCTGCATAGTTTTGCTGCTGTATTTACATTTAACGGGACCCATTCAATCGATAAAATATTGGTCAAATATGTATATACACTATGGTGTGGGTGTTGAAACAACTCCCCCCCCCCCCACCCCAATGATTGTACAAAGGTATAGACGCAGTCTTGCAATTGCTTGCTCACGCCACTGATGACAGCAGGTCCTCCCATAGAGGGAGCTCTAGAGAGCCCATCTAGAGGGTATTCTGCCCTAATCTTACACTCGGGCCAGACATCTTGGGGGCACTTACACGTAACCTCACCATATGCAACCTGCCCATTGACATAACGGCGGTGCACCCATCTAAACAACTGGGTGGGCAGAGGCGGAGGGAATTAAGGAAAATTGGGCAGTTTCTACTGCCATGCCGGGAGATCGAATTTAACCGGCGGCCTGATGGCTGCACCCTCCTGATGGATATATACGATTGCACGCAGCTCTTTGTCATTCATGTAACTTACGTGCTGGATAAAAAAAAAAATTTGAAAGCAAAAACTATTCAAAGTTTTGCTAAATATATTGAGACGCACGTTTGTTTTGTAATTTGCTCCGATTTATTCCGATCAATAACAAATTACGGTGAATAAATTGCATGATTATTATTGGTATGTCGCCTTCGAAACTGGCACAAACGTTTGTATGTTATTTTCCAAGACGTGTGCTCTGGCCAGCGTGTGGAACAGTAGGTCAAAATAACCTCATTAAACCTCCGAGAGCAGGGGTCCCCAACCCTCGGGCCACGGATGGTAACCGGTCCGTGGCCTGTTAGGACCCGGGCCGCACAGCAGGAGGTGAGAGTGGTGAGTCCACCCGTGGCCTGCCCATGATTTTATAATTGACCACTTCCGTCCGCGCCTCTTTCCCGCACTTGTCTCAGTCACAGTGTTGGTAAGCCCACAAGCTGCTAACCCCTAGTAGCCAAAATGAGTAAAAACACAAACGTCGCTGGAGAGCTTCTTTGAAAAGGGGGAAAGACCCAATGATGACCCCATCCCCTCCCCCGGTCCGTGAAAAAATTGTCTTCCACGAACCGGTCCCTGGTGCCAAAGAGGCTGGGGACCGCTGCCCTAGAGGGCGTCTCGAGAGCTCTCTCTCTAGATTGGAGCCCCCTTCCACCAGCATTGGCGTGGAGCAAGCAATTATCGGCCTGCCCCTTTACACATACCTTGGGTATTTACGCATCTAATATAATTTATATTTATAGAATACCTTCACGCAAGGCACTTGAGATCGCTTACACAAAGGTGACACAGAATGAAATGATTTAGATGGCAGGTGCGTGCTACAAGGATTGAAGAGTGGTCTTCTGGACATGTGAAAAGAGCTTTATAGCTCTTCGGATACAGCGATAGAGGGTACTTAGGGATCACGAAAGGGGAGGGACGGGAAGGAGTGGAGAGGCGAGGGGAGGTAATGGGAAATGGAGAAGAGGTGAGGCTTTAAGAGAGGAAATGAATGATGTTAAGGAGGGGGACTTCTTAATGTACATGGACAGTGTTTGGTCTATGCGCAGTGTTGAGTCTATGTGTAGTGTTGGGTCTATGGGCAGTGTTGAGTCTATGGGCAGTGTTGAGTCTATGGGCAGTGTTGGGTCTATGGGCAGTGTTGAGCCTATGGGCAGTGTTGAGTCTATGTGTAATGTTGAGTCTATGGGCAGTGTTGAGTCTATGGGCAGTGTTGGGTCGATGGGCAGTGTTGGGTCTATGGCCAGTGTTGAGTCTATGGGCAGTGTTGGGTCGATGGGCAGTGTTGGGTCTATGGCCAGTGTTGAGTCTATGGGCAGTGTTGGGTCGATGGGCAGTGTTGGGTCCATGGGCAGTGTTGAGTCTATGGGCAGAGTTGGGTATATGGGCAGTGTTGGGTCCATGGGCAGTGTTGAGGTTATGGGCAGTGTTGAGTCTATGGGGCAGTGTTGAGCCTATGGGCAATGCTGAATCTATAGCAAGACTTACTCAATACTGCGCTATGGGCAGTGTTGGGTCCATGGGCAGTGTTGAGTCTATGGGCAGTGTTGGGTCTATGGGCAGTGTTGGGTCTATGCACAGTGTTGAGTCTATGTGTAGTGTTGAGTCTATGGGCAGTGTTGAGTCTATGGGCAGTGTTGAGTCTATGGTGCAGTGTTGAGTCTATGGGCAGTGTTGAGTCTATGGGCAGTGTTGAATCTATGGGCAGTGTTGAGTCTATGGTGCAGTGTTGAGTCTATGGGCAGTGTTGAGCCTATGGGCAATGCTGAATCTATGGCAAGACTTACTCAATACTGCGCTATGGGCAGTGCAACTTCGTCTACAAGGGAATTTGATTCGAGTGGAGGGGTGCCAAGAGGGAGGACCGAAAACGAGATTGGCCACAAGGAGGGACAGAGAGAGAGACAGAGATAAGATTGGGAACGAAGAGGACGACAGGAGGGGGCAGGGAAGGAGAATAGAGACATAATCAGGTGGGACACGGCCACGAAGAGATGCATACAATCAGAATATGTATTTATTCTGGAGGATTTCGATAAGATATAAAGTTATTTTCCACACATGTCCAGTAGGGGCAGCTCAGAGGTAACTTGCTAACTTTAATCACACCCTGCTTTTCCCTCGCTAGATATTGCCAAAAGCATATTGTTGCATTTCCCAATTTTTGCAAAAATAATTGTCATGTTTAACCCAGCAATATTGAGCTCATTATCTCAAAAAGCCATCAATGATGACCACCGGGGGTAGCACGTGGGTATCGACTTGGGTAATCGATTCCTCCGTACAGACACGCACGACTCGAATCGAATTGCGGTGGGGGAGGGTCGGAGGAATCGATCCAGCGCGTGACGTCACGGCGTGTACCACCGGCGAGCTTGCGACAGGGGTGCATGCGAGGTAGGCGATGTCCATTAAAAGCTCTCCCCCTTTTTTATAAACATTGTGCAGTAAGTGCAAGCAACTGCAATGCTGTGGGGGTGCGACAATCACAACAACAAACCGGAGAAAACTAAAAAACAATGAACTAACAATCCGCGCGACGCACAAAACGGAACTTTACGTCGCCACGCGTGAAACACGAACACACAAAACCCAGAGTACATTGAGAATAGACCAGCGGCGTAACAACGTAACGGTGAATAACGTTACAAGTTCATTTCAAGTTCATTTATTAGGTATAGCCCTGTGAGCCATTCGGCTCTTGAATCGGGTGCAACCGCAACAAACAAAAACAAGAAAACATCTTAAAGTGACCATGTGACTGTGTGCAAAATTGAAAATCCAAGAAAATCCAGCAAAATATTCCAGAAAAAACACAGTACACCAACGCTGTGTGCACAAATCCCAGTGGGATTCCAGTCAAACAACAAGGGCATGGGAAAACAAACATTATTAGCCGTGTAAAAGTCTCGTTTTGTGTGTGTGTTGCGTGTGGGGTGGTGTTGAGTGGTGTGGGGTGGGGGGATTTCGTGTGCCAATAGTCTCGCCCGGTGACCCGGGGTCAAAGTTGAGCCGCGCCATGTTGGTTGGGTGCGTAATGGTGGCAACCATCTCCTCCTGCCCGCCGCCGCCGCTGTTGTTGTTATCGTCGTCGTCCTCCCCTCGCCCTCCGCTCTCTCCGCCCTCGTTTTTCTCCACAGCCTTCCCGACCACCAGCACCATCAGCAGGAGCAGCTGCGTAGGACGAGCGGAGAGAGAGCCATGGAGGCGGAGCCGCGGAGCCGGTACTTGTACCGCGTCCACCGGCACAGCGCGGACATCCTGGAGCGTCTGAACGCTCAGCGCAAGGCGGGACGCTTCTGCGACGTGGTGGTCAAGGTGGGCGACGAGCGCTTCCCGGCGCACAGGGCGGTGCTCGCGGCATGCAGCGGATACTTCGAGGCGAGTCTCAGCGGTTGCGGCCTTGGGGTCGGGGTCGGGATCGGGGTGGCGAACGCGACCGCGACCGTGACCGCGGGCGGGATCGCCGCTGGTGCCGGAGTTGAGACTGAGCCGGTGTCGGAGACGGGCATTGCGGACGCTGCCCCCGACCCTCCTCAGGAGAACGACGAGCAGCAGAACGAGCAGCAGAATGAGCAGCCGCAGGCTCAACAGAGCCAACAGCCGCAATCGAATCAGCAGGCTCAGAGCCAGCACAAGCCGCAGGGTCAGCAGCAGCATCAACAACAACAACATCAACAACAGCAGCAGCAGCAGCACTACCAGGCCTCGCCGACTGAAGAGCCTCCGCCGTCCGAGGTGGAGATGCACACGATCAGCTCCGTGGTGTTCCGCGACATCCTCGACTTCGCCTACACGTCTCAGCTCACCGTGCGCCTCGAGATCTTCCCCGAGCTCATGACGGCCGCGCGTTTTCTCGTCATGGGCTCGGTGATTGACATCTGCCAGGAGATGATCCGCCAGGCGAACGTGCAGATTCGAGTGCCCCGCGCACGCGAAAGCTACTTCAGGGCGCTGGGCTTCCTGCCGGACATGGTGCTGCGCCAGGCGCTGGATGGGGCCCGTGCGTCGGCGTCAGCCAAGGATGAGGATGACAGCGTCGAGATGGCCAAGCGAGACGGTGAGATTCAAGGACCCGGGGCCACCGCTGCTGCTCCCTCCTCCTTGCAAAGCCCAGATGGAAGTGGGGATCAACCCGGCAGCCAGCAGGACGTGCTGTCGTCGTCATCGCCCCCCTTCAAGGACGCGGGCACGGTGCTCAATTCGTGCGCACGCGATCAGACCGACGCGCTCGATCTGAGGGGAGATGGGGATGTTTCGACGCCGCAGGCTGCCGCGGCAACGTGGCCGGGCAACGGCGAGGGGGGTGACCGGGCCGACGAGCGTGCAGCTGGGGTCCCGTCGCCGTTCGAACAGAGTCCTGAGGACGCGGCATCTTCGCAGGCCCGGGAACAGCAGGGTGTGGTGGCTACGCGCGGCAAGGGCAAGGGGAAGGGAAAAGTGAGGTGCAGAACTCGTGGAAGGAGTCTGCTGCCGTCCATGGTACCGCTCACGCAACCAATGCCCAACGAGATGATCAAAAGGGGCCGTGGCCGGCCGCGCAAGCGCGCCTTCTTAGAGGTGCATGGCCAGCCCGTGGTGAGCACGCACGGCAGGGAGACCTCGGAGGAGATCCTGACAGAGAACCCCGAGCTGAGCCTCTCACTTATCCGCATCAAGAGCAAGAGCCAGTTCGTGTGCTCGCACTGTGGCAAGGAGTTCCGCGACGGCTACCACCTGCGGCGGCACGAGATGCGCCACACGAGGAGCAACGCTCCGCTGCCGCCCTCTTCGCCGCGCCACGTCTACGGTGTGCCCACCATGGTGGACATGGTGAGCCCGCTCGGCGTGCTCTACTCCTCTTTCGCCATGAGCGGAGCCGACCCGCCCGATGCGCCGCCCTACTCGGACGACCCCATGGACCTGTCGTCGTTCCACGCGAGCGGCACGCTTCGCTCGGCAAAGGGCGGTGACGGCGGCGAGGACCCCGAAGAGGGCGAGGTGGAGCGGCGGCGAAGCTTTGGCGAGGCCGCCCTGGCCGCGTTGGGCGGTCGGGCGCAGGCGTTCGCCACCTCGGCCGCCCTTACCGCTGCAGCTGCGTCAGCGGCCGGCGGGATTATGTTGGACGGAGACCAGGGCCTGCCGTCTCCGGGGAACGAGAGGAAAGACAAGAAGGCGATCATCAACAACCGAGGCCTCAAAAAGAAGCCGGGCAGTCCAGGGGTCGAGGGAGGCACGTCCCAGCAGGGGCCCGTGTTTGGGTTGTTCCACGAGACTTGGCCTCCGGCCAGGTATGAAAATGCCTCTGTTTGGCTCAGTGGTGCCGCAGTGTCTTCGCACCTGCGTCAAGTTTGAATCGCTGCGCCTGAGGAATGGTCAGACACCAGGCACCCAGTTGTTGACCATGCCTGGGCGGCTGACCGTTGTTAAGGATTGCCAGTGGCCACGTGCCCCATTGACTTCCAGTGGGCCTCATTTTGGGGCTAATAATATTTTACAGCCCTTGGTTAGCCACTGCTGGAAAAGGGGCCTCTCCACGTGTCAGTCATGAGGGTTGTATTTGGTCTAAGTATCATAAAAGCATGCTTTTTTGTGGTATGCACTGTTATTTTGCGTTGGCTAAATTCCAGAATTCAGCCACATTCAATAAATTGACCATGTATGTTTAAACACTTCAGACATCATCTTGAAGAGATTCATCTGGAGTAAAAAAAAACTGCTTATCATGATAAACATAACTAACAAATGTGGGTTCTGCAGTCAAATATATTTTGCTCACTTAATACGTATCACATTATGGAGATTAAAATATGTAGTATTTTTCCTTTATAGGTCTTTCGATATAAGTTTACACTGAACAGATTTTTTTTCGTGTTAATTCAGGACTACTAGCAAAGCACACTAGGATCTGAAATTCACAGTCATAGGTTTTTTGTATTCAATAATTTTAGGTCCAACGTGTGCTGGTTGTTACCTTTAGCTTTGTCATTCTATGATGTACACAATTTAAATATTGTTTCACCATTGATTTGGCATGGCGTTATTCTCTACACAACAACTGAAAGGTACATTTCAAGGAATTTTGTTGCCATTGTTGGCAACAAATCAAAATAAAACATTCTTCTAATCTCAGCTTAATTTGTAAACGCAGTAAATCACACGACACTTTATTTATCTTTTTATTTATGTCTCCGCTTCTGTGTGTCTTTGTCTATCTGCCTGTCGTTTATGTCATTGCCAGGATGCGTAATTGAGACACAGTGTCTTGTATGTTCCCGTGTGTGATGGTCCACATTCATAGTTTGCGTAGAGCTTCAGACTGAAAAGATGCAGCAGCTTAGTCACTCCGTGCAGTATGAGACACTTGGAGATGTTCAGCGTTTTAAATGGACGACCTGGTAATCTGTTTCTCACTCAATATCTTTAATCTTAACTCCCATCTATGCCATACAGCTGTTGAGATGCATAAATTATGGCGGGGGGGGGGGGGTTTCTTGGAAATGCTACACCATTTGGTACACCATTTTTTTTCCATCTGTCAGAAACAAAGGCTTATGCAAGTGCAGACTTTGTTTGGCCTTGGCATGGAATCTCATCATCAAAGTTTCTTTGAAAAAACTTGCGCATTCTGGTGACAAAACGGAGCCTTTACGTGTGTTCATGTCTGATGGCGTCTTGGTTAAGTAGACAAATGTGGGTGATGCCATTGGCACTGATTGCATAGACGTTATGAATTTTACCTCCGCTGATTAGCGGAATGAGAGAGCGCAGTGTTTCTAGACAACTCGGAAAACAAAGGCAGGGAGTCGAATCGGCCACGTTCTAAAAAGGCATGCGTGGGGCTTGAGGATCACAGGGGAATTTAAAGTGTGCATTTAAAATTGTGTGGCTGGAGGTGGGAATTTAAATAATGTGTCAAGTAACATGATATTCCACAAACCATGCATAATTGCTGCTTTGAAAAGCTGTTTTAAATATATAAGGCTAAAGTCATTGCTGAATATAGGAAGTCATTGCTGAATATAGGAATACCAGATGTAGAGAAGTTTATGTACCTGGTGGTGTTCAACATGGTCATGGGTGGTGCGTCGCGACTCAGAGACTTAAAAAATATTTGAAGCTGCCAGCATGTGAAGTTTATACGGCTCTTTTTTGTCCCTATTAAGTTAGCGCTAAAAATGTGCAATGTTCTCTTTTACGTGGGAAAGTCTTAAGACCTGGACCTCAGAAGAATACTTACGTATAAACCAAGTTGCACTTGCCATGGCAGTAATACGTCTGACTGTAAATAAGCGGACACGCACAGAGGGGACGACATTATTGCGTGATTTTCACCTCGCCATAAGGAAGTTAATCGACTGGGCACAATTGTTACGTGCCCAAGAGGTATCATCGGACGCTGAAGGCTCAATGAACACTTGTGTCGGAATCGGAGACATTAATGCCTCTTATTGCCTTAATGCAGATACGGGGTCACTAGCCTGGCCTTGATCAGCTTTACGCTGTTGCTATGGCTAAGTTGACAAGTGCGTTGTACGTTTTGGGATTGATCCAGACACAGTTGCTCTGAGCTTGCCGAGAAAAGCCACAGGGCACGGAATGTACTTGCAATGATGTGTGGTTCATCGAGCAAGTTGGGTCCTCTGCGAGGTTCGGTTTCATCGTTGTATGTGTTGTTTTTTTGTGCATTCATTGTATTTGTTTTGTCTTTGGTCTTTTGTCATAGCTCTTTGTAAATTATCTTTTCCTCACACTTTTGTCCAGGTATCTCACTTGTTTTTACTTTCACAATTTAAGCAATGCTTTTTTAAATTGTAGATACTTAATAATTGAAAAACAATCTTCAAATAACATGCATTGTATTTATTTTTTGTGTTTCTGTTTTTACATGAATCGAGCACATCTTTTGGATGTGTAGTGTTTTTAATACAGCAGAACCCTTTTGGCAACCAGAGACGGTAGTAGTTGGGTAACAGTATATGACACTTTGTATAGATAATCTTCAAGCTGGCAGTAGAAGCAACCATAGCTACAAAAAAAACTTAAATGTGGGGGGGGGGGGCTCCTGGTGATGGTACAACATTCCATTTTGCACGTACATTTTTGCTTCAGTAAGCAATAGGGAAAACACATTCGAATGGGGAGGAAAGGTTTGCACCCATTGGTCATTAAAGGGCCCTCAGCATGCTGGGTTATATCATGAACCTGGTGGCAGTGTTTGTGGTGCACGGTCATTCTTAGTGAATGCAACCTTACCAGGTGACCTGCTAGGCCTCTCTTGACAGTGCTGCGATTCCGAAAAGAATGCAGGCATCCTGGCCTTCTGGTCAGAACGTTTGCCAGTGGCCTGTTGAACTTAAGTTTGACTTGCCACTGCCTAATACAATCTGTGGAGTGGACCAATGAACTCATATCCGTTAAGCATCATCTCTCTGTTCTGAAGAAGGGCCAATGCCCAGCATTTTTTGCCAACTATCTATTTTTTTACGTAGTTAGGCAGTGTTAATGAAAACTGTTGACAGTTTTCGTTTGTACACCTTTGCCAAGATATTTAAGTCAAAAGTCAATGTCTCCATAGTCAGGTTTGCACTATTTCACTATTTCTCTTGTAAAATTCTATGGTGGCAGGGGCGGTGTTTGCATAAGATAATCATTGTTATCTTATTAATTGTTACTCATTTTTATCAACCTCAGATAAATTATTGGTTTAGTTGACCCCCAACCACGATTTGAACTCATGAGCTTCAGGCTGTGAGTGTTGTGCTTTAAGCATGGTGCCACCTGTGGCATACACGATAACCGGTGACAGCTGATCAACCAAGTTAAAGAATGGTGCCTTGCACAATTGCAGTGGTGCATAACTAAGGCTAAAATTGTATCATGGAGGTCATGGGAATCGTGAATATGAAGAAAGTCCATGAAATATTGAAAATGGCTGTATAAACACAATTGGTTTGGCGCTTTATTTCATTTCAAAGATACCGTATGCTCGTGACTTTTCCGTATATTTTTTTATCCTGCGCATCAGCTGTGAAATTTACTAAAAGTTCGCATGTAAAAATCGCAGGCTTATTCATATGGGGGAGGTGGGCCCTTGCCTCACCCCTGTGTGCGGCCATGAGCACTGGAACGCAGGGGTAATAGAATGGGAGCGGTGGACGACAGCCTCCCTCCCTTCTTCTTCTTTGTGCTGCCGCCTGATAACCACGTGCTGTGTATGCAGGACGACGCGCAGGGAGGGGAGGATGACGCACGCGTGCGACGTGTGCGGCAAGGTCTTCCGTGACTTCTACCACCTGAAGCGGCATAAGCTGTCGCACTCGGATGAACGGCCGTACGAGTGCCCTGTGTGCAAGCAACGCTTCAAACGCAAGGACCGCATGAGCTACCACCTGCGCACGCACGAGGATGGCGATGGCAAGGTCTGCTCCTGCCTGTGGTGTGGGAAGGGCTTCTCCAGGTGTGACTACGCACGCACGTACGCACTCACACCCAGCCACCCACCCACACAGCCACTCATCCATACTGCCACCCACCCAGCCACCCTCAGCTACCAACTCACACCCAAATTATTTTAGACTTTTTTATTTTACCAGGTAAGGCCCACTGAGCTGTATAGCTTTTTTTCAGGAGCGACCTGGCCCCAAATAATAACTCAACAAAGTTGCTACCATGAGGACATTTATAGCAGCCAAGTACTCTAAACGCATGTTTCTAAATGTGGAGGAAAAAACCGAAAGACCCGGAGAAAAATCCACATGATCACAGGGAGAACATGCAAACTTCAAATATACAGACGTCGGGGTCAGGATCGAACCCACAACCTCTTGTATACCAGGTGAGGTAGTTAACATTTTGTCTCTGTGGCGCCCCTAGCCACCTACACCCAGCTAGCCACCCACCCACACCCAGCCACCCACCCACCCACACTCAGCCACCCATCCATACAGCCACCCACCCATCCACACAGCCACCTACCCACACCCACCCACACCCACTCACTCCCACCCACAACCAGTTACCCACCCACACTATCAAACCTCTATTGCCAAAATCGTGATCACTGCATGCTTTTATCACCCCTTGTGTCCCATGTGTGACCACGACGTCGTATAATAGCTCTCCAACGTGTTTTCGGATTGCACCGCGAGATGTTCGGCGTGCTGCCCGACGTTTCTCTGCACGTGCTGGCAGCTTTTTGAAGCTTCTTGAAGCAAGTTCTCTGGCACGCGGGGCGGGACGTTGGACATCATAGCGAACAACACGAAAAGACGTTGGAAATCTACGTGGCTTAACCGCGAAATCCTCTGTACTACAGTAGGAGTCGTGCAATGAATCGCATTGCCTCTTTAGCGGGACTTCGTGTTGTGATGTAAGGAACAGCCTTGGAAGGTGACACCACAGAAGCAGTTCTGATGTCGCTTTGACAGGCATCGCTTACGCAGCTCTTGATAGTGCTTCTTCATGACCTGTAAAGAATGATTTGCTTCACAACAAGGTTTTCAATATGATTTTTGGCTGCAGATTGAAAGCACCGCACCAACATCTCCAATAACACTATCTTGAAGCTAGTTGTAATTACTGGCGAAACGTCGCACTCAGATGGTAAATGTTGTGGCTTGGCTCTCCAACACACCGGTGTGCTGTACTAGTGACGAATTGGCATGTTCTGTTTACGTGACAACCCTTAATAGTTAGCTGTGTTGGGTGGTGGCGGGTTTTAACGACACATTTATATATTTACGCGATCTAACCCAAAAACCTCTATTATGGATGATATTGGTCGCGAAAGCCTACGTGTTAAACACGATCTTACTTTCAAAAAATGTCTACTAGGGCAATACATAGAGCAGTAGCTCTTCATCCCAAGGCACAAGACAGTTTTGTTAAAGGCTTTATTGTAGTGTTATTGTCTCTGCCTATACTGTATTGCCTCTGCACTCCCTAATATATATCGCAGTTGCCCATAATCAAATAACGTGCAAAAAACAATCATTTTTGTACACTTTTGTGCACGTGTTCGTGTCTATGTTGTGACCATGTATTGTTACACGAGATCACATCTAGGCTCTCGGCACTGTTGGCTCAGACCCTTGACGTGAGCTTCAGATCATGCTCCTGGGTAGCTGAACCCTCTCTTGAGTTTATAGTCAACATCCTAATATTTTGTCGTGTAGTGAGGCCCTCAGGCACTCTCTCTCTGTTGCCTTGTTGATGAAGTAGTCTTGGTCTCGTGCGTTGTTTGGGTAATTGTTATGTTGTCAAAAAAGTTTAAAACGTTTAAGCCCATTCGTCATATTTGGTATAAAGTGCAGTACATGGAGTAGCCATGAATACTCTTGACATTCAAAGTGTGAATTTGAACAGTGAAGTTGCAAATTTAAGTTTTAATTAAGCTTTGTTAAAGCACTTAATTTTAACATGTTATTACAATCAACACATAGTTTATAAATATATAACTGCACAAATAGGTATTTGAGCAATCAGTGGGTGTGTATTTTTATTATATAGTTTTTAAGTTAGGCACTCGTGTTAATTGTAGCGGTGCAGTATTTGAATGTATTGTAAAATTTATGATTGAAGTCCCATCAATATGTTCTCAATATCAAAATGATTACTGGGCTGTGCTCATTTACAATGGCATTCAGTGGAAACTCTGCCAGTTTATTTGTCGGGGCAAAAAAAACTGTTTACTTCTCACGAAGTGCTAATTTATTAATGAACCCCAGAGGGATGATGGGTTTCTGGTTGACTGGGCCGAGATTTATATTTACGGCTTCCCAATGGAGTTCATAGCTGCCCACAGTGCTACCCAGTAGGATAGAGTGACAATGGATAAACGTTATAAGCTCCTATGAAAGCTTTACTCTTATACAAAATGTAAAACAACAACAGTATGTATTCTATATCTTAAATAACACCTCCAAGTTACCTGGCAAGTCAACAGATATTGTGCCTTTTTAAATCCTTTATATTAATTCACTTGCTTGCGCGCTTACGACCGTGCAAATCTTTCGGTCGTTTTTTAACCCACTTCTCGTGATCCAATCGAGCTGACATTTTGCACACAGACTCGTTGTGCGTGACAATTTATTTTCGTGAAAATATTTTTCCAAAATTTTACACTTTTTAGGAAAAAATAAATTATATTTTATTACCAATTGCTTAATGGTGGCAGGCAATCATCTGACCCATAGGTGGCAGCCATCTCAAGCCAGAGGACGAGAGGACTCTAGCCGCCACGCATATAAAGGATTTATAGTGAAAAACTTTGTTTTTACCGGTTAATTTTTTCTCGTTAGGTCAACATCGAGTTTTTCGGAAAAGGTAAAGGTGCAGCCCTGCAATTACTTGCTCATGCCATTGATATTGGAAGGGCCTCCACTTGAGAGAGCTATAGGGTGCCTTTTAAATGGTCATTGGACTACTCTTTCACACTAGCCAGATGTCTAGGAGGAGGTGGAAGTACTCACGCGTTACCTCAGCATACGCGCGACCTGCCGATCGACAAACTGCGTTTGCACAAAGGGAAAACCGATCACAAGTGTACCATCAGATAATCCAGGATGTCGGCATTGTTTCAAGGCTACCTTAACACATCATGTCCAACCAGTGGAATGGTACTGGAAGTGAAAAAAATAGGTCAAAAGCAAGCTTTGAATGCACACGGTTTTATTTGCACTCAAAAGCAGAAAATATATTATTTTGACCCCGGAATTAATCAAATTTGATGTGCTCAATAAAAGTGAGTGGCTTGCATTAAGAAAATTAATTTGATGTGCTCAATAAAAGCGGGTGGCTTCCTTTCGATATGTTTAGATACATTCCAGGGTCAAAATAATCTATTTTCTACTTTTGAGTGCAAATAAAAGTGTGTGCATTGAAAAACTTGTTTTTTTCTACCAACAATTTCGCGTACTTGTTGGTTGGTCTCGCGTTAAGGAGGAGGGGAAGCACAGCGGCCGCTCCGGCGCCATGACGAGCGGCGATAGAAGCGCTCCTTTCATTGGTTACAGGCTGGCCAGCAACAGCCGCTGTGATTGGACCATTTGTTTCCCGACGTAGGTGGGCGTGACCATTCGTGATTTAAAAAAGGTGGGGGGGGGGGTAAAATGTACGATTATGAAATATTCAATTTTAATACTAAACTCAAACACAATTGTCAATCACACTGCCCTGAAGAGGAAACAATTTTTTAAAAATAAGTGACGTTTCGGGTAATTATTCTGCTTCATTTAGCGATATCATAACGGAGAGATAATAGCTCTGCTATAAACAAAGGGCCATCACCTATTACTGTATATGTTTATTTAAATATATGTTGTACTCGGGGCAGTGTTTATTGATGATTGTGGATTCAAAGCTCATCACACATGAGCAACGTTGAAAATGGCACTGCTCGTGTTTTGATTGTTTTTGTTCTGTTCATCTATATTGCAGGTGACGCAAATGTGTATAACTGGGTTGCACGTGGACATTTCTTTGCATTTTTCCACCCTTTGGAAATAGACTTTCAATTACCGGTTCTAATGACAGTGGAGCAATTAAAATGATCATAGTCTGTGGAAGAGCACAGCTTAATTAAAATGCACCTCTTAAATGAGATGTGCGGGTGACTCAGAGGTCAGAGGTCAGAGTGCTGAGCTGGCACTGCTAACATCCTGGGTTCTAATCCAGGTTTGAGCCGCCTGTCATTACACCGGGTTTTCAAGTGGACTGAGTTAATGGTTTATGGTTTATTCCCGTCGCCAATGACTGCAAATAGTCATCACGTCACATTTGGTTCTGCATTCAATTTTACAGAATTACAGCTCTGAGAATGAAATATCGATTTTACTGTTACACAACAAACATTACGACAATATACAAAAAGATGGGTGGAAAAGGTTTGCCCCCAAACTGTGGACAGTTCACTTGGAGGGATCTCAGTTGCTCTGCGATGTCTGCCTCTTCACACAAATAATTGCATTGGGAAAACAGCAGAATGTGTCCCTAGAATAGCGATTGAAGGCAGATCATGAATTTAATAATGATGAAATAAAAGTCAAAAAGAGAGCAGCTGAAGCGCTTTTGGAAAACTGAACTTGACGTTGAAAAGCGGCTTACCAATTTCGAGAGCCATTTTCTCATGCAAAGGGTTGCGCACTGCATTGCGAGCGATCCAAATGGACATTTCGTATTGTGACGCCAAGACGCTAGCACAGTCGGGATAAAATTGCGAGTGAAAAAATGTACACCTCTAAAAGCACGCTTGGGAGCTGCGTCATTATGACCGCTTTTGTTTCCTCGCGTTCTTGTGTGGGAGTGTGAATGGGCGCGCTGTCGGGTTGCTGCATGCTTTGGTCATGTGGGTGTGGGGGCAGGTGTGGCAGTGTAGCGGATAGCGCGCTGCGCTTGGAACCCGACAACCCGAGTTCGATTCCCGCTCACGGCCAACACCAGTGACGATTTTCTGAACCGGTCTTGGGCCTCCCTTAGGTAGACTCAGCCTCAAATGTGTGCCTGGTGCGGTGTGTAAACATCACTACTGGGGCTACTGGCCACCCACCCCCTCGTGTACCGTTCTGGCCTTCATAGGTGCTCGCTAACAGCACTTGCCCCAACAGTCTGTTCAGGCTATATGGGGGGTCTTTGTGGCATGGGTGTGGTGTTATTGCACAAATTGCTCCAGTTAATTGCTTATCCAATGCATCCCATTGCCTGTCCATCTTCCAACTCTGTTCCGGGGATCCTAATCCCAACATGAATGGTTCCTGCTACTAAATTAGGAAAGCGGGATATTAAAAGTATGTAATGACAGGCACTCATTCTTGTTATTTAGTTATTGACATTTTGTTGTGCCATCTTATTTCATTGATATTTTATAATTTGACATAATTACATCCAAGTTGGTTTGAATTTAATTTATATGTCTCATTCTGAAACCTTTTGACATCACATACGCACATCCTGCGTATGCCACCTGCAAATATTCTACGCAGTTTATTTTAGGTAAGGCTCATTGAGCAGAGAGGCTCTTTTTTTTAATGGCGACCCAGCAAAAGTGGCAAGCATGTTACATGGGATGGGACGGTTTAAAGGGATTGCAAGAACATGATATATGGTGATTGTTGGATATTTGTGAGACATTTTCTCGTATTTGAAAACACATTTATATGGTATTTTGAGCACTAAGTGCTGAGCACTCTTTTTTATGAAATCGCACTACTGGGATATGATTTACATGCTGTCATAATTATGGCATGCAAATGGGCTGTGGGGCTGCGGGGCTACGTGGCTGAGTGTGTTTTGTGTCGGTAAATCATTCACGTCTTTTATTTATAACTAGGTGAGAGCACAGGGAGATCTAGTGCCATCTTCACACGGGAAAACTTGACTAACGAAATTTGCAGCTGTGCATTTGTGTAAGTTCACGTTGATAGAAAATGTTGGTATGTGTGCGTAGTTTAAAAAAAAATAATATCGTTTATCGTGTAGTGATGTACCTTAACGCATGACTCTTTCTTCTGACCCCTGACCTCCCACACCTCCTAGGCCTGACCACTTGACCAGCCATGTGCGGCAGGTTCACCTGCGAGAGAGGCCCTTTATTTGCCAGGTGAGTGAATTTTAATGCTCTGGAATCGCGATGACTTGCCACTACCATCTGCTTTCGTCCATACAGTAGTCCCTCGGTCAACTTTTTTAATCCATTCCACGAAAACTACTGTTAACCGAAATAACTGTTAATCAAAATCACTTACAAGTTGAAAAACAAGTCAAAATCACTGAGTCTATAAGAGAGCTGTTTCCACTGCCAAAACAGAAAACACAATGTGAACAAATCCAGGTGAGGTCTAAACGTGCATACATGGGTGTCGCTGATTGTTTGAGGGCATGGATCAGCCCACTTTCGAGTGCTCAGATTGGCCGAAATTGGCACCCTGCGTGCATAACATAAACATACCGTTGATTCAAATGTTAACGTTCATCTAAACCATGGGGTCCTATGGGAGGCGAAAACGTTCACCGAAAAACCATCAACCGATGTCAATGTTAACCGAAGGACTACTGTATTTACGTATGAATGTATTTTGAATGCACCGTACGTAGCCAACTGTGCTAATCGGGGGTGCCTGTGGCCACCAGAGATTCTCGCCATCCTTTATGTAGCCACTGTCGTCTTTGTCACCCTTGGAAGTTGTCAACATCGTTATCATCTATTTCACCAGACATCTGTCATATTTTATCATTGGAGTCTAGCACCATCATCGTCGGTGTTAAATCTTGCACATTGTCATCAGGCTTCATAATCGTCATCAACTATGTTGTCTTCTGAAACTTGTCAGGCTCCTATTAACCAAGGCATTGCTTCTGTAGCTTCTATGGTATCATTTTTATGGGTGAACGGAATGAAACGACGTAGTTTCCGAATAAGCCTTGAAGCATTTAATTTCAAGGGATGGCAATGAAAGGTACTTAGTTAAAAAATGTCTGCCTAAATATTAGTCGGCGGATATCTCGTAGAAAAGTAAAATAAATAAAGGGAGGGACATGCCAATTAAATAATGAGTACACGAAATCAACTTCGTTACCTACCTGAACCCCCATTCTGTTACCCAGATAAAACAATGCATCTTTAAGATAGCTATCTTATGAGGTGGTGGTGGTACTGTCCCAAGTGATATACAAAAAAGAATCGGCTATCAGCTTTTTTGTGTGAGTGGCAAATCGTGAGCGGCTAATGGTGCTTTCAAAAACATGACTTGTGACGTATGACTGGGTGAAAATCGCACTCACGCGGCTTGCGGGCGATTCTAAATGAAAATTTGACCAAGTGCATGGGTGTGTGTGTGTGAGTGATATCTGAAGTGGTTGCTGGGCTTCGCCTAGTTCGACTCAGCCTTAAACGAGTACCTGGTGTGGTGTGTCAAACACCAGCACTGGGGAGACAAAAGTGGATGGGCGTGGTGCTGGCCTCACCGCCCGCTCGTGACACCGTACCGGCCTTAAGAGGCGCTCACCTAGAGCACCTGCCCCTACAGTCTATGTAGGCTATCCTGGGGGGGGGAGTCTTTTACTTCTTTTCCACTGCACAACTGAGCTGTGCCCAGGGCCAAGGAAGCACCGGATTGTTTTCCAACTGCAGAAGCCGAGCCGTGTCATGGACTTTGCGCGCATTGAACGGAGTCTAGACGCACTTAGATGATGCAGCGACGCTGTGCCTTGCGGTGTTACCGACTGACGTCACGGGCAATGGATTCTGTCATTAGCCCTGGTCATGCTGCTTGGCCCAGGGTCAGATGCAGGAAAGTTTTACACGGTTTGATTCCGGCTCGGCACAGCAAATATCCAGTGGGAAACCACCTGTTAGCGTGAGGGCCCCAGCCTGGCTCGGCTCGGATGTGCCAGTGGAAAAGGGGTATTTGTGACTGTGTGTGTGTACGTAGACGTGCGGGATGAGCTTTGCCACACACGAGCGGCTGCGTGCACATGTGACGCGCCACCAGCAGAAGGTGCCCTGCGGAGTGTGCGGGAAGCAGCTGACGGCAGGGTACGTCGCCAGCCACATGAAGCTGCACGCCAAGGCCGGCAAGACGTCACCCAAAGGTGAGGGAGCCAGTCAGTGGCTCAGGACCACAGACACCGATTGGTGAAGTCGTTTGAATTGCTTATGACTCCCCAATGCGCATTCTCTGCTGCAGCGACCAAGCCTTTCTATCGTACCCCGCAGTTAACCATTGATCAGTGGGAAGCCACTCATTCTCTTCTGCTGCCCCCATCGTCTGCCACTCACTTCCCCCAGCCGTTATTGCTGCCGAATCTGCCTCTGTTCAAGTCCACGATCAAAACCTTTATGTTGTTGCATTTAAGACGCTATATAAATCCAAATTGTGTTATTACTCTGTAATGAATATCCTCCCTGCAAACTGATGTTGACAGCATACCAGGTACTAAATGGAGTCTAAATCTTTCCAGGTAAGACCAAGAACAGGTTTGTCGATCTATAGCTAACAATTAAGGGCATGAGAATAGGTTTTCCCCTTTTTTCTGGCAACAAAACAGGTGTTAAGATGTTACAACACCAAACTGAAACCTTTTACAAGAAATGATGTCTGCATTAACCACAATACTTGTGGTCAGAATGCAAACAAAAAACATTCTCTGATAATATTCTTTGGGTCTTTCGGTAAAGCCACGCAGATAGAACAAATAATAATAAAAATAATAACAATATCATGACGTTTCCATCGCAACACAAGCAATCGTCATCAGGTGAAACATATAGTGGGAGAGCTGCTGAGAATAAATGGTGGAAGCGCTGCTAAGGCAGGTAGTTATAAAGGTTTGAGATGGGTAGCAAAAGAGTCAGTGGGCGGGGCTAGAAATTAAATTTGTATGTAAATGTGAGATCAGAGAAATCTTGACAAACGCATTTGTGGGGGTAGCCATTGTAGACCCAAAGAATATGAATTCCTGCAGTCCCGAAAGTTTTAAGTCAAGATTTTACTGCCTCTACTGGGAGGGTTCCACACAACTATTAGATCTTTCAACAAACTTCGAGACAAGAAGGCTCATCCGATCGAGTCGCTCACTTTTCTGAAGAGATGTCGCGACACCAAGGTAATACCGATCGCCTTCACACTCACATTCGCTGCTGTCACTTCTCCTAATGCTAAACGGATCTTGTTCAGGGCCAGCCTAGCCCTGATCTCAGAGAGAATAAGATTGCTCCGATTTGAACTAGACAATTTAGACAAGACCCTCTTGCAATGTCTTTCCTTGTGGGTGAGGTACGTAGATGACACGTTCGTCATCTGGACCAATTCTTCAACTACATCATACACCCAGCCATCAAATTCACAATGGAGGTGGAAAAGGATGGCAGATTACCATTCTTGGATGTTTTAATCGAAAAGAGATCTGATGGCTCAATGGGACACGACAGGAAAGCCACCCATACGGATGCCTACCTAAAACCTGACCCACACCGCCATCCATCCCAGAAGAATTCCCTCATCAAAACTCTACACCGTAGAGCTCGTTGCATTTCCGACCATCACCACCTAGCCAGTGAACTGGAGAACGTACACCAAGCCCTCAAGAAGAATGGATATTCAGACAACACAATCTGTAAAGCTATCACCACAACCGTTGGGAAAGAACCATCGGAGGACCCAATCAAAACCATCACCTTGCCATACATAGCAGGGGTCACCAAAAATATTTCCAAAATCATAAGCAAACACAAGATCCAGGTAGGATTCAACACAGTACGTAAAATTCGTGATTTGATCCCATCTGTGAAGGATCTGATCCCTGACATGCAATACCCCGGTGTCTACAAACTAAGCTGTGTTTGCGGCAGCAGTTACATTGGGGAAACTAAGCGGCATGTCTCGGACTGGGTTCGTGAACATAAGGCAGATCTGAAACATGGTAGGACCAATACTTCAGCCGTGGCTGATCATTATTTTAACGCTGTGGGCACACACAAAATTGATTTTGCCAAGACGAGGGTACTCTACAAGCCCACTGGCTATCAGCAAATATTCGTTCATGAAGTCATCCAGATATATAAACACAGACAGAATTGCAACCTAGAAGATGGGTACAAACTGAGCAATCATTGGAAGGACGTTATCAATTAGTTTAGGTCATAACTGGCTGTGATGTTCCCTCCCTACCTACCCATGTTAGCAGTTATTTTCGACTCTCTGAGTTACATTCACTTACACAGCCACCGTTAGCTGTATTAGTAAATGGCGGCCTGCCATCCTTTTCCACCTCCATGTGGCGATGTGCTTGCCGAGCTCTCTGAGTTTATATTTACAAGCAAATTTCTTTCATTGACATGCTAATCTCTCACAATACAATGGCCACCCGCACAGCTTCGTTTGTCAAGATTTCTCTGATCTTTCATTTACATGCAAATTTAGCAGCTACATCATGGGACCTCCTTTGCCAGTTCCAAAATATGAGAATAGATTTTCCCCTTGTTTCTGGCAACAAAACAGGTGTTAAGATGTTAAAACACCAAACTGGAAACTTTTACAAGGAATCACGTGAAGGGCATGGTCAGGAATTGAACGTGGTTCACGAACAGTATGCCGTCTGTTGCTTTAACTTGCACCACACGATCCCTTCTTTCAGCAGAGACGGCCAATGGAGGCCCCCCACCCGGCACGGGACACAAGCACGCGTGCAAGCTCTGCGGTACCAGGTTCAAGTTCAAGTCGCAGATGAAGCGGCACGTGCGTGCCGAACACCGCGATCGGCCGCCTGGCAAAGACGCGGCCGCTATCAACGCAGGCACCTCCATTCAGGACACCGCCTCCATCAACGCCCCCACCACCACCACCACCACAACCATGGCCACGTCCACCGCCGATACCGGCAAGCGCCACAAGTCGTCAACCAAGTCGGAGGCGTCGTCCAAGCACAGCAAGCACAAATCGCCGTTGGAAAAACGCTCCTCGCATTCGTCGAGTTCGTCGTCTTCATCCTCGTCGTCGTCGTCGTCATCGTCGTCTTCGTCCTCATCGTCATCGTCTTCATCGTCGTCCTCCTCATCCCCACCCTCGTCTTCTCCGGTCTGCGTGGCCGCCAGCACCAGGCCCGCGGCGCCTGCCAGGCCAGCGCTTGGCAGCCCCGCCAGGGCGTCCATGTCCGTGCTGGAGTCTTTCGGATTCCAGGTGGTGCAGTCGGCGTACCTCAACTCGGAGGCGGAGCTCAACTCGGACGCGTCCTCCGGGTGACTCCGCCGCCAGCCCCCCCCCCCGACACCCCAGCTCCTCTCACTCCTGCCCCGTAGTGCGCGCGCCACACAGAGGAAACCATAAACGGCAGCGACGTCGCCTCTAGTTGTCGCCATCGTCGTCGCTACCGTCATCTCGAACAGCGCAACATTTTTAACACATCCATCGTCAACCAACATTGACACCGCTGCTGCATTCATCGCTGGGCACCAACGTCTGCCGCCGTCGTCACCACTCGTAGCATTCACCACATTGCTATCAGCGTCGTGATAATAAACCGCATTGCAATCGCCATCCCAGGCGTCGTCTAGTCCACTGCTGTCATTGTCATCATCTATGTTGCTGATGTAGGCAGTCGCACCCATTGAAAAATATCTTCTGAAGATGAAGTCACCCGATCCGCACTTCTCTACGAGGAGGGTTGAGCACCATGAGCTGCGTGGACCATTTTTTTCCCTAACGTGCTCCTTTCCGACCGCAGCTAATGTGTGGTGAAGGCATGTGCCGCTGCTAACCTGGCCTACACGATCTGTGCAAATGCCCTTTGGCCATGCGCACATGGCCGTCATGTGCTATGGCCGCACCGCATGCCACACTTGGGAAAAAACTTGAAACAATTGGACAAGTTTGCTATCGATGGGACGCGATTAGTACCTATTGAAAATGTTGTCATCGCCAGCTGATATCTTACGTGCATTTCATTTATAATGAAAGTTATTACGAGACTAAATCTTGAGGAAATTGCTGGGATTTTTGGTGAAGTTTATGGAAAATGTTTTTGGACTTCGTAACATTTTTTTGCATCGCTTTGCCTGTGATTCAAGACACAGCAACGACTCTGACACTCGCAGCAGGACAGAGTAGATCTCCCAGTATCATTGTTTATATTATGCACTCCTCGATAGTTATCTTTAAAACTAAGGACCGTATTTTTTGCCAAGTTGAACTGCAAGCAGTTATGAACACTGGACCGTATCCTATGTTGGACAGTGTGGAGTCTGAGCAATCTTTTCTTGATAGGGGTAAGAAAGAGGAGTACTCCATTCCTGGACAACAAAGCCACCATGGTACCGTGGCTCAGGAAAGCAACAGTATATGGCGAAAATGTTGTCAGTACACTCCAGCCTAACGTGACACCTTGGTCTAATGGGAGGGCTGCATTAGAGGTTTTTTTTTTTTCTGGCTAACTGTGCAAAGGTAATTTGGCTGATTGAGAACGAAAGTTATTTTGGTCTTTTCCATAGTTTTTAATTTACAAATTAGGTCACGGCGTTTAAGTAGCCTGCACTGTCGCTGCAGGTATACAATCTCGTGTGATATGGCTTGTGTGAAACCATTACAGTGATACCTAATAGCCAATCGTTATGCATCGCAAGTCTTCAGCATTACAAGGTCGGTTGATGAAAGTGAAGAATGTAATCGTGAGACTACATTTAGTTGTAAATTATTACATTTCATGTGTTGGGGGTGGGGGGGGGCATTTGTAAGTGCGCAACACTGAACCTGGTCCGCCTGGGTTTGACTCTTTGAGTCGGCCGCCACAGGTGAGATCGGCAAGTGATCCAGTCCTGCCCCCCCCCCTCACAGCACTTCACCAAACCACAATGACCAGAGTTAATTGCGGTCAGACAAGTCCTCGTTTTAATTCAGCAGTAGTTTGACAAAGGGCTGTGAAATGTACTTTGAATGTATGATTGTTGCCATGTTCTCTAACGGTCATCCACAAGTAGTTTGTTATACATAGGTCTGGATCTTAAAATGGAGTGCAGCTTCCATTAGCCCAAGGTCTTGGTATGTTTGGCAAAAACACGTGGACATTTATTGTTTTATTTGTGTTGAGATAAATTCCCTACAACATTGACATTTTCAGGTTAAGTCTCTTTGACCAAAACTGAATGTACAGTGCAATTAAAATGTGGATAATTTGGCAAAAAAAAACAATACAAACTTTGATATCTGTACGTGAATTCCATTTCCAAGAGTTTTGGGAATGTTCCCACGCAAGCCGGTCCTAATGAGAAGTATAAGTGCCCTCGTTGTGGGCTATGATGTGTAGGAGTTGGGGATCTTGTTCCTATTGGTGGTGGAAGGAGTGAAACAAGTGAAACACCATTTTCAGTTTTAGATGACACGGTGTGAGCTGCCTTTACTGTATTTTAGCGCACAATGGAAAGAATTATTGAATTGAGGTTTAGGTACTTCTGCGTAATTCTAAGGATAATTTATCTCTTTTTATCTGACGTGACTTTGGGTATTAGTTTCCCCATCTCCTATACCTCACTGTGTGCCCCTGAAATGCAAATCCAACAACGGTTGCATGAGCACCGGACAGTGTGCAGAACTGGCGTAAAAAAAAACACAAACTCTAAATAAATGTGCAAATTGTCAAGGTGACACATGAAAAGCAAGATTGTGAACGCTGATCCTCCTCTGGATTATTTTGAGAGGTAGGACTTGGTGATGTCAGCTCGCGTTACGATTGCTTGTGTCGAGGAAATCTGCTCGATTAAGTTCCAAGGTTTTAATGTCTGTGCAGCACGCAAGTGGATATTCGGTCTGAGTTTTGCTGTTACACTAATGAAAATCTACACTATGAATTGCTGTTACCGTGCCAGCCTTTAAACGTGAAATAATGAGGATGTTGAAACGTGGTTAAATTTAGTAACAGGACCGGCTAAGGTATGTAAATATTATTATGCTCGTTTTCTTTTGTAAAAATAAAAAAAAAGTGAGAAAAAAAAATAATCCAACAAGTTCTGTAAATATTGTTTGTGTTAAATTGAACATTCTGGGGCAGCTGTGTTTTTTTAAATTTCATTTTGTATTTAAAATAAGCAAGGGTGAACTAGAATTCTTAGGGTAAATTACAGTGACAAGTAATTAATTACAATGAACATTCACTGGAATGTAATACAATTTAATATTTTTCACGTATTTTATTCAATACATGCTCACTTGTACATAATGTCCTATCCATACGTTATGCTATCATAACTTAGGTGGTATCTTTTATTAAACCAGTTGAGCGCCCAATGAGACGTCAATTCATCTGGCAATATTTGTAAGGAACATTATTATTCTGCTTGTTACCCAGGAAAGCATCCCTTGAGTTCCATGACATTTATTGAGGAGGGGGTCCTACTAAGTTTTCACAGGAGGGGGAAAAGATTACTATGTATGTTTCAGTATAGTTAATTGCGAGTAATTTTTCAAATTTGGACCATGATGCCGGCACACAAGTCTTGTCATTGCAAGTGACATTACAGGATCATTAATTTCCACTGTTTCGCAGACGGCGAGTATTGTTTTATGGTTAATAATTCCGCTGGATTAGATCCCTGAACCTCTGCCTGCAATATTATCAACGATTCCAAATGTGTATCAACCCTGTAATTCAGTCATTAAAGATTCCTTGATATCAATCGCAAGTTATCCTTTTTGTGCCAGTGTCGATAGCAATTATTATTTAGTTTATTGTTCATTGTGAAATGGCCAAAATTATTTCATGGTCTTCAACGTCAAGAGATAACTTATCTTGGTGAGCTCCAACATGGTTTAAATAAAAAGGATACTGGAATAATTTTTATTTAATTTCACGTTTTCATTGTTTTAGTCTTTGTCTGCTAACAAGTCCAGTGAGTATTACATTGTCGATTGTTTCAATTCTCTTAATACTGATCAGAAGTAAATATGCACTGCACAGATGTTGTTTTTGATATAATTGGTTGGAGACTATAATTCTGAGTTGGAAACATCCTTTTAACTGCGAGTTCGCATACACTGCTTGATACACCGACTTCCAACTTTTATGCAGAAAAGGGAACATTATTTCCACTTGTGATTCTAATACATATGAAAAGGAATTATTATCATCGAATTGTTTTAAAGATGTAATTTTTACACAACATGGGTGTTGGGTTCCCCTGTTGTGGACACGACACAGAAAAGCTTTTATCATTACCATGTTATATTTTGCAGTTACTGTTGTGGGCGGGGGGGGGGATGGCTGTGAAGCTGGTGCTGCTGCTGTATACATTTCCAGCCTTTTCAATTTGTAGATAACGGCGAAGCATGCGTGTCTGCCCGCGTGTACGCCTGCCGCCTATGCGTGCGACACCCATAAGAAACGCACGACTCTTCTCCACTATGTACTCGTACAAAGGCAGCAATATTTGAAGCTCTGATCTCCATAAAAATCATGCTACCGAACAGCTACTTACAAGAAGAGATAAAGGTGTCATGTCTTCAAAACAAATGTGACTGAGCAGCCAGCCTCGCCCTGTATTCATGGAGCAAACATGAGCATATTATAAGCGTTACCAAGTTACAGCAGTAATTTCGTTTAGGCATTGTTTCCTCTGCTAATGATGTCGATTCCATAGTACAACCGTACCGTGATGGGGCCTTGCCATGCCAAGCTTGGCTCGGGAGGCACGATTTTCTTTTCCACTGCAAAACCCAAACTGTGTCGCTGATATCCCACAATAAATGTCATAGGTTGCATACGTATCACGGTATTAATCAGTATTGGCTGATGCAAGGTATGATGACAATTATTAATCCTGCTCCCTGGCCCTGCTTGGGTTCCCGAGGCAGATTTAGCTTTTCTTGAGGATTTCACTTTGGTTCTGGCTCGGCTCGCTGGCGCAGCTTGGATGTGCAAGTTGAAAAGATCTCTGTTGATGTGCGGGGACCTACCAAAGGTTGTGTTGTTTATTGTCCAGTGACCTTATCTTACATGGTCTCACTGTCCATTTTGTGTACCTGCGATCTTTAAGATTTAATTGAAGGCACGTAGCTGGAGACCTGAATTTGTAATGACGCGTTATGCCAGTTGCATTTTTTTAATAACACGAAACATCTGGAGCTAAAAGGCATACTGTCTGTATATGTCTGCTGCAATAATGCACCGATACTCATATAATTTATTTTTAAAAGTTTAAATTACTGATGAAAAGTAAGTCTCCAGTATGTGCTGTCCCTGTGATTGATGACCTTAGGATTGGCATTTAGCGACATTACAAAAGCTGTTTCCAAATGTTTTTTTCTGCCCAGAGGTCACATTGGCAGTGAGAACGAGGTGCGTGTAATTTGTGCATTTATCATCCAATAATAATGGCAAGTACTTGTTCGTTTACAAGACTGAAAACATTTGACATTTATTCCGCAATTGAAATGAATTCTTCTCGCTATAACCATTACCCGAAGCCAGTTGAATAATGTGGGGTTCCGGATTTTGTTTATTTTTAAGCTCTTTCTTATTTGTACGTTTCCTATTGGTGTTTTGATACGACACTGCTGTATCCCGTGTTACACACGTACGTGCGTGCACACCATTTTCCCCGTTGCTCTTCTTCAGGGGGAAATTCTCGCAAAACATTGTAGCTTGGACTGTGCATGGATAATTTGAAGACTTCAAATCGTTGCAGGTTTTGCTGGACATTCGAAGGATTTAAAAAAAAGGGACAGTAACTCATGCGGCACATTTTACGGTCACGAGTGTGTTGCTGAACTGCGATTTTTTTTAAAAAGTGTTTAAGCATTTTTGAACCCCTTTTTTTAAAGTTATTAAAATCTACGTTGTGTGCAAAAAAAACCCCCACCGATTAGCATGTGTGTGTAAACATTGTGCACCGTTACTTCTTGCATATGGCTTTGCATTGCAACTCACACACCGACGTTTGGGTCCGACCACCGAAGCACAGCCTCGGGGAAAAGTTGCATCGATGTTTTCAATTTCTCCGCCGAATTTAACGGAGGTTTATAATTGTGGTCCATGGACTGGTCACGATAACCAGCCGCACACAGCCAGGCGCTTCCGTATTTCCCAATTGAATATCTGGGGTTCCCGTATCTGCCATGGATACCGATTCAGTATTTATATTGAATACGTGGATTTATTGGAGTACAGGTGTTGACTTGCAGTGGGCTGTTTCCTGCCCCCCCCCATGGCAAATACATGTCAATGTGTACAAGGAGTGTGTGTTGCATTGCTAGTGTTTAGTATGGTTGGTTACGTACGGTGTGAAAGAAGATCAACATACATCGTGTGGTGCTATGTCATTGTATTGACAAACCAGCAAGTCTGGGTGATGTTTCTGGCCGCATCACCGTCACCAGGAGGTACAACTCGAAATTTAATTGGTGTGGAATAGTAGGTGGGGAATTGTGAGACACCACCAATGGGGATCAGAACGCTAACATACCAGATAGGTGTCATTAAAACAACGAATGTTCTAAGTTGATTTATAAACGTGCATTATGTTGCCTATAATAGTTTGACTCAAAATGTGTTTAAATGTGTTTTTTCTAACCTACAAGTGAATACAGTATATGCTTGCCGAGCAAAAAATAGACTCATCCGACAGTGGATTGAACATGGGCTTGGCTCTATTTGTTACATCCTGTGAAATCTGGCAATGGGTGATTCACGTGCGCACGTTCGAGGAAGACAGATTATCAAGATCTTGTCGTAGGCACCCATTGTTGACCAAGTCAGCTGGTGGGATACCACATCAAGCAAAAAGACGTTTCAGTGATGGTAGAGGAATGGGGTGGGCTGTGATTACCTTTGCCATCTAATAATAAAATGTTCAATGTATATAAAACAATAAATTAGGTTAGATATTTATTATATGTATACTGTACACTTTTACACGACTGCATGCAACCCTATGTTGCAGAGTTTAACATACACACACACACCTTAAACAGTGCATAATTCCACTGAAAACAGGTGCTGCATGGACTCTCGGCTTTACAGAATACAGAATCGCGTAACGTTTCTATTCAATATTGGTCCTCTTAGCACCTGCTCTGTAACCTGCCTATGCTCAATCATGGCTTCATCCAATTAGTATTTTAAACAAGCTCACATAAAGGTTATGTAAAACCACGACGTTGCAGTTAAGTTACTCGATGTCCACACAGCCATTTGCGTTGGATAAAGGGAATGCATCAACGCAGCAGAGGCCGCAGCGTTATTGGCCAACGTTGTGAAGGAGCGTTAACTTGACGCCAATAGTTTGAATAATTACTAGTGGATGGCAGTGTCGACAAAAATAAAACCCCTTGCATTGGCTGGTAACCAGCATGAATATCACCCGTCTCTATGGAGGGGGGCTTGTCAACAATGCCACTGGGCAGATGGTAAAAGCCTGCCCACAACAACTTGGGTCCAAGTACGAACATTAAAAAAAAAACACTGCGCAGAGCTGGCCAAGTCCGGCCAGTGCTTGGTGAGGGCAATGTCCATCCTGGAATCTCACAGCACGGCAGTCTCTTCACGTAACCCCATAGGTAAATTGGCCACAATTCAGACAAATCTTGACATTGGAGCGGCAGAATGAATGAACGAAGTCTGACACAGGCTGCAGTAAATAAAAAAAAATGTGTCGTCCACTAATGATACATTGGATTGGTAATTACAGCATTGTGGTTCAGAACACCAGCGCACTCTGGAGTCCTGTAAAGCCCAGAGTGAGAGCACCACCTGCGTGGAATTCAACTAAGTTTGACGGCTGTAATTTACTGTCCTGTGCAGTTAACAGTAATCCAACACGTGCAAGGCACCAAAGCTCAGCTCACTAAGCACGGCTCGGTTATTTGCCGAACTCCCCTCAAAAGTCGTATACATCCTTTTCTAAAATATGCAAAAGGCATGATAATCCACTGAATTACATTTTGGTCAGGCAGATGACAGTCGCATGAGACGGCCTCCTGTCCCAATTTTGACAACACCAGAAGAGGGGTCAGAACCGCATGGCACCATTCAGTCCATCCGGACGTCCCAGCTTCACTTTCAAATGAATAGACCCAACTGTTCAAATGTGATCCTCCTCACATCATATAGGCTTGGATTAACCGCAATGCAGCACGCGCACGCGGGCCAGGGTTGCCTGGAACACCCGGACCGGAGGGATGATAGACTGATGCCGGGTTCAGTTATTACAACGTTTGAACGGACACAAAGTAGCGCATTCAGCCGTGCTTTTACATAAACACATTTTAAAACATCGAACAAGCACAATAAAGTACATTGTACGGTGGAGTTTTACCGAACCAAAGCCCGAAATTGCCGTTGAGCGATTGCAGGCGTACACGAATATACAAAAAAAATCGAAATGCTTCAACTTATGAAAGCTGAATTATTACAAGGGAAACAAAGAATTCTGCATGTGCAAGAATCAATTTGTGTTTTGTGGAAATAGTGCATCGGACATCAACCACCTCCGATGACGAGTGAAGACAACATTCAAATCCTCTGCAGTTCGGTCAGCAACATAATGGCTTTACGGCCTTCCACGGGATCCCCTGTATAACGTGGGTCTATGGCATACACGATCCCTTTCGTTTCGGGAAATTAGTCTATTGGTCTTTTGTTCTCATTCTCAATTGCGCTATCGGCATGGCACGTGGATGCATTTGCATATCTCGCGGAACAGTACTCGCACGCGTTAGAGAATCGCTGCTGAAGAGTTGTCACAGAACTTCAGTGACCCTTTTTGCATATTTAGCACAGTATTTTCCCATACACTACGCAATGAGATAGTTGCATGACACTGAAACCCATATTTACATTCTCAGACCTGGAATTTAGGCAAATTAAGTGAAAACCAATATACACACGTGTGCAAATTTTATCTCCACTCACTGGTGGCCAGGTTGAGACCATGAACTGGCTAATCTGTATTAATCACAAGTGGCTGCCGAAATTTCAACCCAATATCTCAGCAATGACCTGAGCCCACCCGACCATAATGGCAGAATGATCTTAGCGCAATCCACCAACTGCCTTTCTTATGCTGCTTGCGTTCAGGCGTGTGCTACCACACACGCACTGCTTAGGCATCTGCGACTTTGCAAGTCAAACCCGCTGAGAATGACTCCATCCAGCTAACAGGGAGAGGGCTGAACTGATGGGCGACTGCCCTGTTGCTCACCTTCTTACGTCTTCGCTGTGTAACATTGAGACGCGATTGCAAAAACTTGTGACAATGCGCCTAGCCTCGTTGCAGATTGGTGCTGGCGGTTAAAGCGAGCGGCATGCCGACACGAACTTGGATACGCGGTGCACAATAAACACGATTTACAAAGATTTCACTTGACACGGCAGACACAGCATGTACCGCCTTTTCCCACCTGGTCCGGTGCAGCGGTGCTCAGGGGATGTCAACACGTGCACTCTGCATGCTTTTAAAAGATAACACTGGTAAAAAAAAAATCTGGCCTGGACTTTTGCAGTTATTTAGACTAATTTCAGGGTGCTAATTCCAAATCTCATCTCAGATTTGCTCTATCACATATAATTTTTATGCTATCGGCATACCCCATTTTCATTGATTTTACCCAAAATTAACTCTGTCACTTATGATTGCAAGTTGTTGCGAGTCAGTGACTGCTTTAGTGTTAAAATATGGTGCTGTATTTTTAGGATAGTGTGTTTATAATATTTTATGTAGATATCCACATTTATTTAATATTTTTCTTCTGCAGTTTTTATTTAAAATGCAATATTTGATATCTCAATAACCGGATGTGATAGACAAAAACTGATGCCAGATTTGGAATCAGCACCCCAAAATTACCTTAAACCCGGTGGAATACCTTATGCCAGAAAAAGTGTGTGTTGACCAGTGTAAGTGAATCTCAGTAATCTGTCATTACAGTGAATATCCCTAGACTGGTAGTAGCAGTGTGTAATGTTAATCCCTCACCAAATGCAACGCTTATGGTCAATGCCAAAGACACGTGAAATACATCCTACCAAAGTTGGATAAATGTGTTCGTTTTAGGGGTTTTTCATGTGCCCTAATGGTGCGTTGGATGGCCAAATGAGGTACAGGGAGTTACATCACAGCTAACGAAAGAAAAAGAAACCGAAATGGTCAATCAAAATTCTTCACATGACCCTGGTTCATCATGATCCTGATCAAAACGATTTTTTTAACGATGGTTAACATTTGCACACATCACCTGTAGTGCAGACCTGCAAGCTTATGTTAATCCCTGCTTAGGAGCAGCATTTAAACTATCACAAACATAACCTGTTAACACTACGTAATTAAACAGATGTCGTGATGCTGCGTTGGCAGTGGTGCAAAAACGCAATTAACAAACTCAACACATTTGTCAAGAACAGTGCCTTTATAAATATACAATAGGCTATTTTTCGGCTAATGGCCCTTCCGCATAGCACTTAGGAGGCCAGAGACAGAGTGGATCATAAGAGCTGGAGACTGCCCTTAACACCATGGAGTGTTTATGAGAACGATACGTTTAAAACATTTTTTGATTAAGTAAACAATTTGCACATGAAGCTGCGTAATTGTGCGCTATTGAGTAAAATACAAATGCCTCCATAATCTGGAAGTGTTAGAAAAATTTACTAATTTATATTCAAAGCGGCACAGTGCCGGCCTTCATAGGCACAGAATCGGAATAAAAAATACAGTAATTTTGTTGATGTCTTCAGGCTGGAAGACGTACCGAGGCTACCCACAAGGCTATGCGGGAAGGGTGTGTGGCGCAGTTTGCCACCAGCTATGAAGACTGCAGTCGTGTCGCTACGGCTCTCTGCGGTGAAGACAATGTCTTTACTAACGCACGAGATTCAGTGGTGAACGTGACACCCACACTCTGCAACTCGCAGACGTCTCGGAAACAGGAAAGCGTTAACCAGCCCGTTTGGCGAGAAAAGAACCGCCCAGAGGGACACGCAAACCTCGCTCGTACGACTTTCATGTGCCCTCTGTTGTCATGACCGTTGATTCGGGTTCAGTACAGTTATATTTAACCAGTAATACTTTCTGATCACCGAAGGGTTTGTCTGATAGTCAATAGCTACTAGGTAACTGTTCATATTCTATTCTTGGGTCTTTCGGTAAAGTCACATAGATAGGCGACTTTACCGAAAGATCCAAGAATATAATTTGCTGCAGTCACGAAAGCTTTAAGTGAAGATTTATTCATATTCTAATTTTAAAACTGGTCATCAGCAAAGTGCAGTCTCCAACTCTTATTATCCACTCCGTCTCTCTGGCGTTTCTAATTGCCCAACACATCACTGATATATATTTTTTATTTTAAGGCTACATAGGTGTTTGTGATCTTTTAGGTATGGGGCCCACTCATTTTATGTATGCTGCTGCAATACAACATATCCAATCGTCAGGGTTTTCAGCAAGACCAAATGATTAAAACCATGGAAAATCACGTGTTTATTGAGAGAGTTCACTGTAATTAGTCTCTACAAAGCCTGTGATCAACTTTACAAAACAAATTACATTAATTACAAACATCCAGCACAAATATCAATCAATCCGGCAGGTTTGCATGTGTCTGCATACAGCAGTGATTTGCAACGAACATTTAAAGTGGTTACATGAAAAGAACCACACTCAAGAAATGCATTTCTGATAATAATCAAAAGAATGTAACTTTATAGTAATGCAGGACTTCACAGAATTTGGGAGATTGTTCCAGCAAGAGGCATTGTGGTACCCAATTGTGAATTCAATATGGCAAGAGGTGACTATACAATAGTGGAGAGGATTCTGCATGAGAGCCAAAAATCTGCATGTTACAAATATGTAATTCCGCCTTATCCCTGTTTATATGGAATATCTACACCAACGGATTTACATCGTTCCCATTCTCTGACCGTCTAATAAATCAATCTCTTGAAATTACTTCCGTAAAAAAGTACAAAATGTACCAACCCATGCCCCATTTTCTTGCGCTCACAAAAAAACTGGAACAATAATGGATGACCATCAGTGAAGCTTTTTGAGAACATGTTTAAAATTTGCAGATTGGACGGATGTTTTTTTTTCTTTAAATTGCACGAAACATATTGTAATGCGAGAATGATTTTTGTAGCGACCACTGGGGTATCTAGGATGTTCCGAGGGCCTCTCCAAAACGAATTTTTTGTCCACCGTTGAGGTTGAAGGTGAAGTCAGCTGGGGCTTCAAAGATGAGGACGACGGTAGAGCCCAGGTTGAATTCACCCAGGTGTTCTCCTTTCCGGAGTGGGATGCCGCTACGGCTGGGCTCCATAACATAGCTCAAGTCATGGTAGCTTCCCTTCATGTAGCGGGGGCTGTTCGTGTGCAGCTCCTGGATTGGAACACAGAAGCCAAGAACGCATACGAGTACGTTAGCCGCAGAGTGAAGCCAACAAATAGTCAACTATTACTGGTAGGAACCTCCTGGTTACACCAGCCCACAGGGGATTATTGTGTCCGTCCGTCCGTCGTGCATCCAAAAATAGGAGGGGTGGGGCTGAGTGGAGAGGGGAGGGTGGGGAGGGGCTGGGTGGGGAGGGGGTGGAGGGGCTGGGTGGGGAGGGGCTGGGTGGGTAGGGCAAGGCTGGGTGGGGGGTAGGAGGGGTGGGTCTGGGTGGGGAGGGGTTGGGTGGGGAGGGGCTGGGTGGGGGGGGGCTGGGTGGGGAGGGTGGGGCGTGGGAGGGGTGGGGCTGGGTGGGGAGGGGCTGGTCACCCCGTGGTGCCCTTATAAAACTCAACGTTTAACCTACTCACGCCGGCTTGTGCCCGCCCTCACAGTCGGGCATATTTGCGGAATACACCACGCCGCCGTTGACCCTGGCCATTGACCGAGCAACCCGACGTTCCTAGCAGCTCCCTCCGCAGGAGGGATGTGTTAATGTTGTACATTTGTGCTTGCGCATGTGGCGAGTTGTTGGGTTGGACCTTGGCAGTTAATTAGGCCAGTTTGTTGTAGCTTTTTCCGGTCATTGCTTTTATGATGGTTTCCATTTTGTCCTATTTAATACTGAAATATTCTATGAGATCTCTTTTACCAGTGGCAAAATATTGTTCAGATCTGTGTAACCGTTATTACCCTGTATTTAATTTGTGAAGTCTCTTGGGATACGATTGCATTTAGGAAAACAATTGCACTATGTTTTCTTGATACGTCAATGGGAGTAACAACGACGACAATGACGATGGATAACACGTCATTAAAAAGTAATGCCAGACTTACATTTATAATGCACAGATAGCGTAACAAACATCTCAGAGCAAAGAAATAGAATGGAGGAAAATGGCAGGGTCGATTGTAACTTTCTCAGCTGCCCCTACTGGACATCTGTGAAAAAGCGCCTCATAGCTCATCGGAAATAAAGATTGTGATTTTGAAAGAATGCAGAGATGCAATTGAGGGGGTGCGAAGGAACTGGACTGAAAAGGCAAGATTGGGGCAGATTTGAAAGAAGAGAGGAGCAGGAAAATCTGCCTGGAGAGAGTGAGCTCCGAGTGGTGGGGGGGGGGAATGTAGTGGCTAAAAGAGCAGTCACCAAAGATGGAGCAGCAGATACTGGTACAAGGAGGAGGGCAGAGTCCATGAAGTGGAGGGAGCAGGCTGGGACGTGGAGGAGGTTGCAGAGGGAGAGAGGGGCCTTGCAATGGATACATTTGAACTTGAGGACACATTATAGTCCACGCGCTCATGAATGTGAAGGTGGTGACGTGCGGGCCAGGTTTGTGACAATTGGAGAGTGGGATTTGCTTCTGGAAAAGGACTTGGGGCCGTGACATTTTGGATCACCTGTAGTTTAAGTATCAAGGGGGTTCTGGAGTCAGAAATAAGTTTGTGACCTTCCGAGGCCACCAAGACACGCAGTACTGGCAGCACTACGTCTATGCACACACCTTGTCGAAGTAGATTTTGATGGAGCCCACATTTGTGGCACCGACCGCAGTAAAAGAGAAGAAGCCATGCTGCCATTCCCCAGTGAGCACCACACGCTCATTGTGGCAGAACAGCTCCTTGATCCAGCGTGCTACTCCAGGACTCACGGACATCAGTGTCCCTGTGCGATACCCAGGAAGACGACACATGCACAAGTATTCACACGTGTAGTTGGAATATACGCACAAGTTAATGCGGTACGTATACGAGCGTGCGCACGCACGTGCAAGCCAGGCGATGGCACCTCGACACCTATGGCAAGGGAGTTTCACAACATTTGTGATGCCCCAATCCTCACCTCTACAGTGAGGGGTTACAGGCGTGCACCACGACTGCCTAGCAATTCTCTCCCCCCCCCCCCCCCCCCCCCCAATACGCATCACAGTCTGTACCTGTCTGTATTACACTTATGGTTTTCCTAAATGCCACACCTGGCTTCGATACCTGCTCAATGACCTTGTGAATTGCAAAAACGGTTCAGCAGAGCCTAGGCGGGAACCTAGTGTTGACTGACAGACAAAGGTAATAAAGAGTGTCCCAATGACTTCAGGCTCAGGAGAATGCTCGGAGTGGCCCAGGGCACCACTGAGAACCTGGAACTGAATCCAGGTTCAGTTCAGTTCCAGTATATTTGGAAGTACCCTGTGACCTAAGTTTCTCTTGAATCAGGTTACAGTCACCTGTGATTAAATAAGATTAGCAAGTGCGGTGAAGTGGTCTCCAATCATTGACCAACGATTACACAAAAAACACCATTTTTTGTTTAACATAACATGGCTAAATCCCGGCTCTAAGTATACTAAATATTGTTCTGGAAAAAAATATCTCGCAGTATAGTGCTGTGATGTGGTGCAGTAACTACTTAAAAGTGTGGGCAGGTTTTGAACCATGTTGATGAACTGAGATGACTGCAAGAATTGAGCATTGTGTCAAGGCCGTAAGAAGAAGAATTTGAGAATAAATTGTCAAGAAATCAGCATTAGGTGATTTTAGTAGCAACATAACTTGCTGATCACATGGCCCTGATGGAGTCAGTTACTGGACATCTTATAAAGGGTGTTAACTTCTAACATTTACGTGAAATAATTAAACAGTTCCCAACCTGAGGTCAACAGACTGCTGGTGGTCTGCGAGGCTACTACAGGGGGGTCCGCGGTAAAGAAAACGTATAAAAATAAGAAAACTCACCACGGAAATGTACAAATTAAAATAACTCGTCCACAAAACGTTTGGAGGTTGAAAAGGGGGTCCTCTCCCCGCACACTCCAAAAAGGTTGTGAACCGCCGAAATAATTATTAGCAGGCATTTGCGCACAATGTTAAATATCTGAAGCTTTCTCCGAGGAACCTAGGGACATTGTTCGTTTCAGCTTTTGCCGTTCAGCCACCATAAATAGTAGCCAAGCAGTATGAATGCATGGGCTTATGCAACAACATATAAATAGCCAACAAGTCGTTAAAACGATGCAGAAAAAAAGGAGAATTTTTTTTTCTGCCGAGGACAAAATATTGTCATATTCCCCATTATAATAAGCACGCTGTGCAATCAATGTTGGGCTTCTAAGTCTGCTTTGCTGCTACCAATGCCATCCCAGTGACACCATCCTGCTCAGGGTAATAATTTGATGCTTCAATGGTAATATCTCATGCACTAAAGGTTACATGGGATATATCCATCAAGCAGTTAGATGTCACACAGACATTTTGATAAATGTGATGTTTGGGTGTTCCCTTGCACACATCTGATCCAGTGTTCCATCATCAGTTTTGTATTGTTAGTGTCGAACTGTTTAACTACACTCGTATAGGAGTAAGATTAATGTACAAAACAACTAATGGGTGGTGACACGACATGGCTTGTTGCAGAGGTCTACGGTTCTAATTGAGCGTCTGCCCCGATGAAATCTGTGGGTGTATTAACCATGAAAAATATACAAGAGCCGCCCGCTTCACGGTGGCCGTTAACAGATCCCACGATGTCATTCACAAAATTAGGCCATTGTGTGATGTAGCGTCATGGTCCAAATTTGGGAAATACCCGCATATGACTGGATTAAATCTATATAGAAATAATTAACCCCTGCTGCAAAAACTTGGCAGGACCCTCCTGAAAGAGTCCTCAGAGACTCAGTGAGGCTTTCCTAGATAAACAAGTCACATGCAGTTGGCCCGACATTTCCAGTAAGGGGTTAAGAAGGTTGCACTGTGCTCGCACAGCTTGGTGAGCAGCACAATTAATTTAACAATTTGTTCCACTCGTTGTAGTTTTGTTCCTACATTGATATCTAGGGTAATCCGGTTATCGTTATATTTCTGGCAGCGATTACTGCATTGTAAGGCCTGATGAATGCATATATGGATACAATGACAATTTTTCTTCTTTCCCTCTTATACACATACACACTTTTAGAGGTGCCTATTATTCCAAGTATACTTGTTTATTCAGGAAAGTCTCACCCGAGAGTCAAGACTTTTTCAATAAGTTCCTGCCGAGTTTTTGAAGTAGGGGGCAGATGACTGATGTTTTCCCGATCAAGCAATTTGTCAGTAATCTTTCCAATTTGGCAAATTTCGACCAAGACGCCAGCGTACAGTGACCTACTCTTCTTCCATCGATGTCACAGGATCTTTAACGTCCACCATAAAGCAGACGGCACGTATTTTATGGTTAGTACACTTGCAATAATAACCAAGGGAGCTCCACAACAAGCGGTAAACACATTAACACTGGACCATTTGACCAAACACCAACTGGTGTTGTGCTGTTGATTGTTTAGGTCCTTTAAAAATTTACAACCAACCTCACGAACTGGGAAAACCCCCTACAAGATTGTTTTGGGTTGGATCGTGATCTAATAAACAAAAGCCTTTATATGAATGTATAGGCCAGCTCTACATACCTTAGAGCTGCACTCAATAATAGAGTAAAAGCAGGTAGAGATGTCAAATGACGAGGAATGCAGGGGTGAATCCAGATTTTACATAAAATACATTAACGGAAAGCAAGCATTACACTTGCATGCCATTTTAGTTTTCACCTGGCCAGCAGCTCCAGCTGCGATTGTGGATGTTGAACAGTGGGGGGCAGCAGTTGCCCGCATTCGCGGTGGTAACGCCCCAAACAACTCGTGCCAATGTCTAATCCTTGCCACCTTATGCTTTGCGACGGCATTCGGCATTCGTTAACCGCACCTGGGAAGTGCCTCCGGTGGTGCACGGTCCAGTCGGTAGGCGAGTGGAAACGGTGATAGTCCCCGGGCGCCAGGTAGATCACGCAGTGGTACAGGGCATTGCCTGGTCGGCTTACCAGCTGATCCTGGAGCACAGTGCTCTGCACGGGCGCTGTGTGGCACGCACACATACACACTTGTGGAGTCACGAACACTGCTGTGGAAAGTGCTGTTATAGATCACCTATTAAGGCTAGCAAGGCGCACAATGCTCAGCTACCTCCGACGTTTACACAGTACACCAGGTATTGAATTAAGGCCAAGTTGATCCACGTGAGGCCTAAAGCAGGTTGGGATACTACTCCTTGCCACACATGTAATCCATGGCCAGGAAGATAATCCGGAGAGAGTCGAGTTCGCAGTGCAGTGAGCTAACTCCTCGGCCACCACACCCCACACAGACACACGCAAGCACTTCACTTAACATGCATGTTGTTATGCTAATGCAGTCAATATATTTCTAAAACTGTGTCAATTGAATGAACGTAACAAGGAGCCGGTTACATTTCACTCCAGAAAAACCAAGGTGGCTACAATGAATAACATGGCTTGCTTCTGTGCACGCAAAAACCAGCCGGCCATTTAACATTTTATTTTGTTATTGAATCAATAAAGAGACTATTTATAGAAATGCCCAAAATAAATTACATCTGCCTGTCCTATCCATCCATCCAAGGTCAATTCACGTGTTGTATCAATAACTACAAAACCTCTCTACCTATCATTACAACACTTTCTGCACAGCTCACCAATACAGAGATCTACGATGCGTGCGTAAAATTAGCAACACATTAATCCATACAAAGCATACTGAAGAAGTAATGTTATACTGTGTCTTTAATGAGGGTGCATGCGTATCAGTGCGCGTGCCAAACACGAGTGCTTGTTTATGCTGTCAGCTTGTTGCTACGGCTAAGATAGGGGCTATTTTTAGAGCAAAACAACAGATAAGGTGGTGTTAGTTTACACATTCCTGCAGAGGGAGCTGGTAGGAACGTTGGGTTGCTTGGTCAATGGCCAGGGTCAACGGCGGCGTGGTGTATTCCGCAAATATGGCCGACTGTGAGGGCGGGCACAAGCCGGCGTGAGTAGGTTAAACGTTGAGTTGTATAAGGGCACCACGGGGTGACCAGCCCCTCCCCACCCAGGCCCTCCCTCCCCACCCAGCCCCTCCCCACCCTCCCCACCCAGCCCCTCCCCTCCCCACCCACCCACCCAGCCCCTCCCTCCCCACCCAGCCACTCCCTGCACGACGGACACAATAATCCCCTGTGGGCTGGTGTAACCAGGAGGCTCCTACCAGTAAGATCCCAGCCTACTAGCCACAATCAAATACTGGGCATCTTGCCTATAGAGTTCTGCCACTCGCTGCAATAACTGCTGCATTAATAATAATAAAAACTATTTTCATTGCAAAGGGTAAAAATACATCCAGGTGAAAGGTGGCCTGCCTATAACGAGCTTTGAAGCTTATTATGGCTTGCATGTTGACTAGGTCCATGTTGTGATAAATGGCTTGGAAAGAAGCGTGCATGCGCATGGTCACGAGCGTGCGAATGTGCGAGTCCGCGAGCAACGCCACTCACCCTCGCTGGGCGTGCCGCCCTGCGGCCCCAGGAAACTCTCCAGAGAGTAGGTGACTCCCTTCACCTGCTCCACTTCATTGTTCCTCACCCGGCCAAAGTGCAGGATTTTGCCATCTGCAGGGCTCACCTGTCGACAAAAAAAATTACAATTTATTTCTCACGGCGAGCGGCTCAACTGGCCACTATCTCCATCGTTGCCGCCCTCCCGCTCACTGCAACCCTGTCCAGGCTTCGTCCGTGAAGCACTCAACCACAGCCAAGCCTCGTTAATGTCAAACAAGCAAACCACGTGGGAAACATGAGCTGATGCAAACCATTCCCATTGCCAAGTGTTGCTGGAGAATCCCAATGGAGATTCACCCGCGATTTGTAACCACAGGTTTGCGAGAAATGGCGGCAGCTTGCGGTGGCCGATGATGGTTAAAAGTAGTTGGGGAAATCGAATAGAAAGCAGTATGCAGAAAGGAACAAGAAGAGTGGTGGTTTGACTTATAATGTGGTGGTTGAACTCAGTGCGGATGAGATGAAACAAACAGTCTGGTAGACCTGAGTCCTCAACATGAGTGGAAGAATCAATGAGCGAAGTTCACCGGGACGTTATCCACGTACCGAATGAAGGGCAATAAGGAGATGGATCACCCTGTCGTGGACTGGCAGGACTTGAGCCACTTTAAAAAAATGTTTGGTTCAGTGTCGGTACTAGAAGCGAGATTGGAAAACCTACAATTTGTGATTAACGCAAAATTTGTAACTATTAATTTCGCCAAGAAGCCACGCCGGACCAAGATGAAACATGATTCAGTCTGCCGTGAAGGCATACAACTGCTGCGAGTGACCAGCTGGGGTGGAGGGCACCATGACCCTTAGTTGGTCAAGCGCAATATTAGTATCAGAATTTGTATTTAGACAGGAGGAATCCGATGAGTTATGAAGCTCTTTTTGACAGATGTCCAGTAGGTCCAGTAGTATGTATGTAGAAATTATTTCCCACCATACAAAGCCAACCGTGCTAATTGTAAGTGCAGGACAACAACCTAAACACAAAAAGCAGTTCTAAAGAAATGAGTTTTCAATATAGATTTAAAAGTGAAGAAGTCAGCCTTGCATAATCAATGACAATTAGGTCAGTCAGCATCTAACAATCAATAGGGAGCGTTCCAGACGGCCGCAGACGCGCATTTGAAAGCACGCGATGCAGTGACCATCTTTGTTGGATGGCCATCCAAAAGCTGCTGCTGCAAGGGTGACAAGAGTTCGCGTGACAGTTTAGTAGCATACGCTGCACACACGCATGCTTGCAGTGTCGTGTGTCTGTGGCCGGGCACCACCGGCAGCCTCACCATGCATTTGGTGCACACGGGTCGGACGCTGGGCTTGAGCTGTCGCCGGAAGAACTCTCCCAGGTTGCGGTAGTGCTGCAGGTCCTCGACGGCCGCCTCCGTCATGTCAACGCTGAAGGCGCGGATGTAGAGCGTGTAGATGGGCCGGCGGAGCCAGCCTGGCAGCTCCAGCTGATTGAGGCGCCCCCAGGCGCGCGACAGCATGCGCGTCGGCACTGACTTGTACACGGCCACCTGCAAGGAGACGAATGCAGGTGGCTTGAGTGAGCACGTGTAGCAGCAGCGGTAGCAGCAGCAGCAACAGCAGCGGTAACAACAGCAGCCCACGTTTATTGGCAGTTGGTGGCGGCAGCGCTGGGAAATCAATATGAAAACTGCAATTGATTGTTAGATGCTAACTGACTTAATCGTTATCGATTTTGCAAGGCTGACTTATTCAGGCGTACAAAGGAACAAAGGAGGCGACTGAAAAGTTGGGTTAAAGATAAGTAAACAAAACTAATGTGAGCAAAACAGCAAGGTCAGTAAACAAAATAAAACAGCTGTTGGAGAGACAGAGCTGGAAAGAATATAGAAAGTATGTAAATGAGGACAATTATTGAAAGCGGACAAGAAATCAAAGTGAGGCAAGCGAGAGCACTGTGGAAGGGTTTTTCGGAAATTTAATTTGACTGTAAAGCAAAACGCCAACAAGCACAGTATCTGAGATGATGCAGCTTACATACACAAATACTCGGCAACAAAATGTGAACAAAAGCTGAAGAGTATGTCAAGAAGGATTAAGAGACACATCTTCAAAATTACTTTGAGAGACACAGAGAGGAGCTCACTAATCAGAGAACAAAGGACGAGACTGGATGAGACTGGTGACGGAACGCAAGCGAAAGGAGGGAACACACCTAGGAGGAAGTCCGCCACTGAGATGGAGTGGTGAGATCAACACATGAAACTAAACTAAAAAAAAATGTATTTATTTTATTCGGTAAGGCCCACTGAGCCATATAGCTCTTTTTGAGAAGTGACCTGCCACAAATGATAGAGTAACAGAGTGGCTTAACATTTATAGCAACCAAACATTCTAGAAAAGCATGTTTCTCAATGTTGAAGCGAAAAACTGGAGGACCCGGAACAAAAAATCTACCTGACCACCGGGAGAACAAACTCCAAATATACAGCAGGCGTCAGGGTCGGGATCGAACCCATGACCTCCTGTATAACAGGCGAGGTAGTTAAAATGACATGTGCAGGATCATTAAGGCATTGTTGAATCACGGAGGCAAAATAATGGGGGGGGGGGGGGGGGGGGGGTGGGGATACAGATCAGACAATGATCAACAAAGTAATTTCATGGTTTTTGTGATTGATTTATACAGACCAGTGATAAGGGGAGGGGGGGGGACTGACATTTCATTGTCATCATCACTACAGCCACAAATATTTTGCCTAATCAATCAATGTAAAATAAAGACCTGTGGTAAACTCAAGAATCACTGAAAATATAAGCATCATCATCTAGGTGAAAACTAAATAAAATAAAACTAAATTAAATCACGACGTTTCGGAAGCAACACAAGCATCCGTCGTCATTTTATTTTGTTTTCACCTACGTGACTTTACCGAAAAAACCAGAGTATGGATCCTTGCAGTCACGAAAACTTCAAATCTAGAATCATCATCATCATCGAGTATTCAGGTTTGGCAGTTCTGATGCGGTTCGCCTACTGTGTTCATTCATAACTTGTCAAACACTTTAGCACGGGTCTTAGATTGTGAAGACAACGCATGTAAATATGTGCATTCCATTTTCTGCTCCCCCCTCCTCTTTTCCGAACATAGATGGACTCGTCCATCTGGCCAACTGCCAAATCGCTGTCCATGGTGCTGACGTTAGAAAAACCGCCACTTTTTTCAAATTTTCTTGCTGTGAATTTCACACCTGATGATGATTGCTTGTGTTGCAGTCGAAACGTCGTGAGAATTTTTATTGTTTTATAATTTTATTATTTCCCTTCTACTTGACTTTACCGAAAGAACCAAGAATATGTGCATTCCTGTCGTAGGTTGTTTAGCGAACGTATAATTAGATCGTGCATAATACATGGTAAAATAATGAGGATTGTTTTTAGCGTTATACACTCAATGACTTATGGTGGCATGGTGATGCCTCCTCCACCTCCTCCTCTTTCAATCATGTAAAGGTTACTAAAGATAGACAATGTAACAACATTAATTATGTACCAAGATTCACATGAAATGGCATGCCCACAGGTTGAACCAGTTACATGTCAAGAGCCCGAATTAAACTCACGGACATCAAATTTCAAGTTACCTTAGGTTTTAAAAAAGGGCAGTTAACGTGTTCCTGTCCAAATCACTCAAATGTGAAAAGGCTTGCGATCCAACAGTGCCACTACTATGTAACCATCCGCGGTCGTGTTGCCTAACTATCTGATGTCTTTTTGGATACAACCTGAAAACACGAGAGAAACCAAGAGTATTGTCCAGACCTATGTATGTGGCTTCTGTATTCACACAAACAACATTACGAGGATTCGTATTTCAAAGTTGTATACAAGTGACTGTCGTCCATTCGAGAGCTAATAACCAAGCTGAACCTTTGCAACGCTTTGTAGGTGTTTGTCACAGAGCCTTGCAGTTTGGGAGAGGCACGCAGGAGCTAAAGGAATGGCAAACGAACCTGCAGGCTAATTTAAACCGTTACATGACACAACCTCGATAGGCCGTTGCAAAGCAATTTAATTCCAAAGATAACAATATAGAGCAAGAGAATGCGAGTGTTAGGTTGATAGTGGGCTGAGGAGGGAGAGTGTTGGGTGTTGGATGGATAGAAAGCAGCACACCACGTGTGTGTGTGTGTATATGTAGGACTCTTACTGACGCGACAACTTCTTGTCTTTGATAATTGGTTTTTTACCCTTCTATCTGGCTACAAAACTGACACCTTTTATACAAGGAGTCATGTTTGCATAGACCACAATACCTGCAGTCATAATGCAAACAAAAAACATAACTCTGATAATGTGCACTGTCCTTGAAGTTGATTGGTCCACACCCGAGACAGCTTTCCTTAGAGCCTAGTCTCTTGACCAATCACCGGCCTGCGTCCTCAGTTACCCTTAACACTTGTGGCGTCTCTTAATCCTCACCCCTTAATTGGCGCACCAACAACTGCACGTCCTCAGTTGCCCCCACTGTACGCTGCACGCTTGCATCGCAACCAAACGCGTGGCGCGTGTCATCTCAGGTCCTACATATATAAACACATCTCAGCTGTTCTTGATAAGGGACTGGTGGATAAAGCATTTCAGGGCAGCACATGACCCTGCACCTTCTGGTCAAGACGATCATCTCATCCACATAAGCCATTCGGAGTCAATGAGACAATTAAACATTCACAATGCACGGACACGTAAGCCGAGTTTACGTGAGCTGCTAGTATCCGGACCAATCAAACTATGAAAGTAAAGCGCATTGACTCATCCAGCGCGTCCCGCCTACATTGGTCATCGTCGTTTCGACGAGGCCGTGCACAGAAATAAATATATGACGTCACTGTAATTATCTGAGTAACAAGATTGTTAATGTTTAATGCTTGTGTTACATTGTGTTGTATTTGTTTTTATTGTACTCAATGTTCTTATTTTATTACATTGGCGTGTTTGTACGTGCATTTTCTTATGTATTGTCTAATTAGTTGAGTTAATTATATATTGGATGATTAACACACACCACCAACAGCAGCCATGGAATTCTCTCCAGCCAGCATATTATTGTGCTTCATCAATAACACTAAAACAACAATAACCATAAAATAACTGCTATGTGCGATATGCACCATTCTGATCGCGCGAAGCTATCATCATGTTCCACAGACAGTGTGCAGGGGCGATGTTCATAGTGCAATCCCAATTGAGTGATCTTCGGAAACTTTGGACCACGACACCAGCCTATTACATGGGGGGGATCTTTACTGTCCCCTGTGATGCAAAGGGCATGTATCTTATGACAATATTTATCAAAAACGGACGGTACCATTATCTTGCCAGTTATATTGTGCCAACCGCTGCTCTATTGATAATCTATCGCTGGTCATGGAAACACAGCTCCAGAGACAAGCGAGTCCTTCGCTTATTGGATGTACGAGCTTCATCCAATTAGCCCTGGCCAATGTAAAAAGAGCAATTATTTAGCCACTCGGCTTCGTGGAAGGACTGAGCCACTCTAAGTCAGTATGTTGAGAATTATCACCCGATGCTCCACGCAAATGAATAAGTGGATTCGTTGAATGCGTGCATACATTTGTAGGCGAGTCTGCTGTAAAAGGCCCGTCTTTAGAGCACTTTGAATGAACGGGTTGCAGCTTAGCTGGGGGCAAGCAGGGCGCAAAGGCTTAAGTCTGGAAACGCAATCCTCATTGAGAGAACGGGACATTGTGCGAGACTTTGGCAGGAAGGTATAACTATCAAAGTCAAAGTGAGTGGCAATTTTGAAACTAAATAAATTATAGATGTATAAACAACAGCCTATTTGTGCCAAGCCTTACAGAATTTGAAATAAGACACCTTTACAATACAGATTACAACAAAGATTGATTTAGTCGTGTGTGCTCCAACGGTTCAATCAGTTTCACATGTAGCATCAATCAGTTCTTCTGGGAAGGCAAGCGCAGTCATGTACTTGGCTCTTAGGTTCTTTAAATAAAGCCATTCATGGTCAGCCTTAGCCGACGACACTGAAAGCTCAGTCTACACAGGTGAAGAGTGGCTGCACTGGGCCTTTCCATGGATGAATAAGTATAACCCGTAAAAACAAAGTTTTTCAATCTAAATCCTTTATATGCGTGGCGGCAAGAGTCCTCTCGTCCTCTGGCTTGAGATGGCTGCCACCTATGGGTCAGATGATTGTCTGCCAGTATTAAGCAACTGGTAATTAAATATTTAATTTGTTTTCCCTAAACAGTGTAAAATTTTGGAAAAAAAAATTCACGAACATTAATTGTCTCGCACAACGAGTCTGTGTGCAAAATGTCAGCTCGATTGGATCACGGGAAGTGGGTTAAAAAACGACCGAAAGATTTGCACGGTCGTAAGCGCGCAAGCAAGTGAACTTAATATAAAGGATTTAAAAAGCAATAGGACTACAGTCTTACCTCGGTATACGACCACTTTGGAATACGTCGAATTTGGTATAAGTCGTGTTATGACGAGAAAAAAAATGTCTTGGGATACGAAGTCTTGCTTGGGATACGACGCGCTTGCTAGAACTTGTATGGGTCGGGATGAGTCACCGCATACCCGCGTCTACCCCGTTCACGCCTCCTCCCCTTCCTCACCACCATCCTCGTAGGCCAGGGGTCGGCAACCAAAATAACAAGAAGAGCCATTTCTTTCCAATTCGGTACAAAATTCAGTATTTCAAGAGCCGCAATGCATCTGAGTACATACTGTACATACGTACATATCGTCAAGAAGCAGCCCGTAAAGAGCCGCATGCGGCTCCAGAGCCGTAGGTTGCCGACCCCTGTCGTAGGCTATCAACTCCTCTCAGCAAGGTAAAGTGATGTTCAATTGTATTTTTATTTAAATTTATTTATGCATTTATTTTAATGTATGTATGCATTTTAGTAATAAGTAGTGTCTAAAGTATTTTATACAACCCCATTAATGTATAATATGCCATATAAAATATCATTTCTTATACTCTGGAACGGATTATTTCCTTTCCCTTGATTTCTTATGGGAAAAATTCGTTTGGAATACGTCATTTTCAGTATAAGTCCTACCTTCTGGAACGAATTAACGACGTATACCGAGGTACCACTGTACTTAACAATGACAGCCTGCTCTTGCCTTCTGATCAAGCATCTTTGATGTGGTGTTACTTAAATAACCAAAAGTAGCCCTGCAAAAAAGCATCAATAACACTGCCTGACAGAGGAAGAAATATATTTTAGGTGATGGCCCTCCCTCGTATCTCTACTATCACCTAAATTATATATCTCTATGAAGCAGGGCCATCGTAAACATCGTCGCCTATTAGGGCAATGGTATTGACGAATATCTAATTTCCCAGTGTAACACACTCTGGAAACATATTTATGCCCTGCCGATTAATGAACAGACCAGTTGTACCTGGAATATAACCAGCTACTGTTTTAGGCGGTGAGGCATTTATTAAAAACTGTTGGAATGTTGTGCACAGGAGGGTGGGTGACTGTAAAGGAATGGGATGTGGGTATGCAACGATGGGAGGGGAGGTATTGAGGGTTGGCACACCACTCTATGCTTGATTGTCAAAGGACAGTGAGGCGTGTATACATGCACAGACACGAACAAATACGTGACCACTGCATGTAGGCGGATATTTACATCAGGTGAATATTTGGACATTTTTCATTTATATCAAAATGCTTTTTCTTATCTCCCAAGAGCAGATGTGCAATGTGCATGCCCAACAAACTCACTTCAAAATTTCTAATGTTCCCAGTGTGAAAGATTACCATCGTTGGGAATGGACAGCAGAGCTTGCCAAGATGCTGCCACCGGAACACTACCACCGGCACGCACGCACAAGACGTGCCCGATCGACTGACGCTCGACAGACTAACACAAGGGGTGAAGTTGGGGTGGTGGTGGGGGGGGGGGGGGGAGTTCTTACCCTGCTGGACAGGCGCCAAGCGGGCCTGCCAATGCCCGGCGACAGCAGGCGCCACGGCTGCAGCGCCAACCAGGGCAGCCTGCCCAGCCTACGCAAGGGGCCTTTCACAGAGAGCGACGGCAAGCCGAACCTACAAGGGGGCAGAGAGCAGAACCGCAGGCGGGCAGCCGCGGGTATTCGCCCGTCAACTGCGGGGTAGAACGTGCGCGAGAGCAATCTTTCAACTCCGAACTGTGGCCATTGCACGAGGGCGGCCGCCTATTGCAGCGCAACACGACCCGCTGCTGTTCCTGCTGCTTGTGAGTTTGTGCTGTTCTTTTCACAGGGATGCGTCTCCAACAGAGGGTTCCTTTGGTTGTGTTGCCGCAAGGGAAGCAGGATTGCAGATGCACGAAAATAAGTGCCAAAATAATGACTGTGGCAGATGAAACAATGGGTGAGTTTCTTAATACTCCCCTGCTTGTTCACCTAGCAGGATAAACGGCACACCAGAGTTAATCAATCGGGAGATCCTATGTGGTGAGATAAAGTGTGGGTAACTACCACCTGTCAATGAGTCTGGCCAGTGTGGATGAAAAAGCTAAAATACCCTCGAGGCTTTACAACACCCTCTGGTTGATACTAATGTAAAAAATTATTCTGCCACAGAGCATAGGCAAGGAATTGCAGTACTGCACCATTATCTTTTAAGGATGGCTTTTAGCGAAACACTCTGGAGGTTTTGGCACAGCCAAATAAACTATGTGTGGTGAAATAAAAAAGAATGGGAGAAGACAATGACATCACAACATTAATATCCTATGTACACACTAAGTATGTGGTACCTCCCCCTGTGATCATGGTTGGCAGTAGAGTACAGATTATCTCTAGATTTTTAAGAAAGGGATGCAGCATTCTTAAAAAAAGACAAGCGTAAAACAAAATTTAGTAAATATGAATGGCTTTTCCCATTAATTGATATGAAAAATCAGGGATGTGTTTTAGACAGTCATTCCCACTCCACTGTTAACCTAAACATATACACCTGTATCACTTGTCACAATAGAAAAATAATAACTAATAATTAACTAAACCAATTTAATATTTTCAGTAAACTCAACAAAAGATCTGCATGCTGGAATGACTGGAAGGTGATGTGGAGTAGTTACTGTTGTACTGTTGCGCTGTACGGATGGATGATGCAGCCTTCCGGGTGCTTCTTGTTTGATCTCATGGCGCGTGCAATTCGAAATTCTCTGAACGTGGAAATTCTATTTTGTTCATAGAAAATGTCCATAATGTGTCAATTGCGTGAACGCAAAATGGAATAAACCTGACGTTCGTAAATCGAGGAATACCTGTACTAATTTGGCAATTTAAATAATCCGCAGAATACATCACAGCAGATGGCCTTGATTCTGATGAAGCTTCGTTTGAAATGCTATTTCTGTGAGGCTTGCTAGAGCCTGGAATATATTTGAACAGGAAATATGTTTTTTGCCAGAGCATGTTTCCTATTAATTAAATGTAAAATGTTGATACTAATGTAAAAAAAATCCAAAACGCTAATTATGTTACTCAATTAGCCTGCATCTCGCATTAATATATCTAGCAAACAAATACTGCCTATCACCAATATTGTAATCCAAGCCAAGATGACACAACCACTTCCAAATCAACTACACCTAATTATTGTCCTGAATAAACCTTCGAGAGGTGCAAATTCTCATGGGTATTTGGAAGTTATGCACCCCTCCTTGCCCCCCCCCCCCCTTCCAAGCCCCCTCCCCCTTACAACCCACCCACCACCCCCTCTTGTCTAAAAAGCCTTAAATCTGATCTGAGACCACCAATAAATAACATGTGCCACTTGACGCTGTGAAAGACCAGGTCATTCTTAAAGGACTGTCAACAAACAAAACCTTCAAGGGAAAAGAGTATTTTCTTTTATCCTGTTTGAAAAAAAATGATACCATCACTTGCCATGGAAAGAATTACATCTCACCAAAACCATTTTCATCCATGCACTATTGTATAATATACAGAACCTTATGGAACACTGCAGCCGTGAGCATGCTTATAAATATTATTTTTTGTCAACAAGATCTATGCCCAGTTGCTCAAAGATGGGGATGGAAATAGAACAGTTCAATGATGTAAAATTTTACAATGACACAAAAGGAAGACCCACTCATGTGATCAATATCAATGGGAATATTGTGGGTTCACACATGTACATGATTGACCCTTGACCGAGTTGAAAGTACATTGATCTATTAAAGACCACAGACATTATATCACATGGGCTTAATCGATCTGTAAGGGAAAACTGCAAACCGACACCGTGACCTAAAAATAAGACATCCTGCTTTGCGCCTCTAATCCTTACTTACTGGCACCTTGCCTGGCTGCATGCTCAAGTTTGCGTGGTTAATTTTAGCTTGCAATGTTTAATTTCTATACCCACTGTGAAGAGTATGTCCCTCTTCTGCACACACTATTAAAATCAATTACACGCAGAAGGCTCATTGTGAGGTTGCCAAGAGGACCTGGTGTTTATGGAATGTCTCTAGCACTGTTCAGACTTTATACATCTCATGACTGGCAAGTCCACGAACTGTGAATGCGGGCGACCAAGAACGATCCTTCTTGAGGTGGTGGCCAATCGTAGAGTTTGGGAATGTTTTACCGATGAGTGAATTCATGCGCCGAATAAATGCGCGCATTAAAATAATGTATCGACGAGTGCACCGACTTTAATGGTCAGATTTAGGCAATTTGAGTGATGGTGAGAAAGTGTACCCTCGAAAAACAAATCGTCGATGGCCCAATGACAAGGTCACGGTCGTGAAATACTACGAGGGACAGCGACAGCATTGGGGAGTTTTCATCTAGCAGTGGAATGACCATGGTTGGTGAAGACAGTGAAAATATGAGCTAGCTTTTTCTAGGCAATATATAATATACTGCTTCTCCAAGACGTGTTCTCGTGTTGTTCCTGCTGGAACAATGTACTGGCAAGCAAGCAGTTCTATCAATGACAACAATGGGATGCCAAATCCACACTAAATCTTAGAGATCACGTTGTGCGAACGGGACAGATGCGTGGATGGGATAGAGGCGAGATGGGCACAGGCAGCTACTGCGTGCGCAAGGCCTTCTTAGCGGCAGTAAACGTACCAACTCGTTTTTCATTTTCTCTACCCTCGGCAGGCGGCGGCGCACAATGAGGCCCTTTGTCAACCCCCATAGCGCTAGCGACACTCAGATCTGCATTAAATCAAATACATTGGTACACATTTTCACAATAAAGGGCAGCCACACATCGAGCATCGTTATTGTTGTTGTCACTAACAATAAATAAAGCCATGTTCCCTCAGCCTAGCAGTCACCTTGTGTTGTTCACATGAAACCTTGCTGGCATGTGCAATACATCCCGAGCAAAGCAGCGTCAATTTAATTAAAACAACAGACATCCCCAGTCACACACGCGTACACACATAGATATAACATTCAGTACTGGCTTTGTGATCAATTAAAATACCCATTCGCTGTAATAGAATTGGCTAGAAACATTATCTTTGCAAGAGCAGGCCTTTGCATGGTAAACTATTAAAACATTTGAATGATACTTATATTGTTTAGATTCAGAAACCACTTACTAAAATGGTGCCTTTCCTGATCTATGTAGACGGTAATAACCTCTGGGTGCCACGCTGGGTGAGATAGTTGACATTCAAATTAAATACTGCTTGCAGCAAGCAGGCAGTTTAAATCCTGCTCAACATCGTCGGCAAACTCGTTTTGTCGTGTATAACCGAAATGGGTTTTGATAACGTGCATTTCATTCAGATACGACCGTTATGCAGTAAATCTTTCTTCCATCAAACCCTTTCACATCTCAATCTCGGTGATAATGGAACCTACTTATAATTTAAGACTCAAGCGCGAAGTGAAAAATGGCCTTATATGCCCGTGACACTAATGGGTAATGTGTGGAAACCCACTCTCATTATGTTCTTTGATATTTCAAACAATGTTTTTTTGCGTGTGAGCAGTTGTATTAAAATCATAAGAGTGAGGTTACAGTGAAGCTAAACAAATCCGTAGTTTGTAGAGTTTCTACGTGAATATTCTACTCTAGAAGGCAAGACAGAGTCATTGCAATTAAATACAATAAAAAATTACAAAAATTCCTCGACCATACATAACAAAGTCTTACGCAAAAATGCCGAGCGATTGGCCGATTTCCTATCTACAAGCAAAGAGGATTTAAGACAACAACCCCAAAGCGAAAATATATTTTAATTCTATTAGTAACTAAACGTCACACAAAATTCATAGCTCACTCACACAACCACATGTAGGCATGCGTATATAAATAAGCACAGCGAATGGGCCAAGACTCCAACCAGGCACATTTTCAACAATACTAAAAAGAAATGCAATCAACATAGACACATTACTTATTTATGACGCATTAGCTCAGTAAAGAATGTTACGGTCCTGTAGTCAACTACAAGCCGTTTCATTTCATTCAGTTGTCCTGTCTGCCTGTCTGGAGCAGACCCCTGACCGCATTACCTGAACTTGCGCTGCTTGCGTTTGGACGGACAGCTGGGCGGTGTACACGCACCGTCGTCGGCATCCGACCTGCCCAAATTACCATGCGCTGTCGGCGAGCGGGCCAAGCCCAGGGGTTTGAAGGCCGCAGGCGGCCGCTGCACCCGGTGAAGGTCGTAGCAGCGAGACTCGTGGATGCACCGACGGCATTTCATCATCCGCCGCCGCCGCCACGCAAACCTCCTACCCCTCGAAACGCTGCCGAGGAGGCACCTTCGCGATGTGGGCGTCGCCGAGGCAACGCGTGAAGGACGGGTCGACTGATGACCTCAGGCCTCGTTCGCTGCTTAAAAAGTCGCCCCGGTGGGGGCGGTGCGCCTCACTCGAGAAGTCGAGCTAGGTCTAATGAGCTTCTCCGCACGGCTCAGCTAATGACGATCAGAAAAAAGCCCCTTTTTAGTAGAGACCAGGGAAGGCCCTGTCGGCCAGCCGTCCATCGCGTAACGGGACCGAACAAATTAATGACACCAGTCTCCGGCAATGAGGCGGTGGGCAAAGCACTCGATTCCCGTGAGAAATTGGCGAGCGTCACAGCGTAAAGATTTGCAGCGTTGCCGCGCCCCTGCTGCCGAGTGCGCGCGTACGCGTACGGGCGGGTTGCCGTTGGTTGCACTCGTGTGCCCGGGACGGCTCGGCTCGTCCTGCTGTTTATAATCCAGCCAAAAGGGCCGGCTCATTTTCGGTGACGCAATTTCCGCTATCCCGCAGCCACTCTCCCTTAACCCTTTGCCCTGCTCACAATTCCCCCATGCGTGCTGACAAATAACATCGGATAGGGTGTGACCCAGTTTTGAGCACAGAATAGGGCACTCAATACAGTGTTCACAAATCATTATGTTGCAAGGAGGGGGGGTATATAAACTTTCTGTCTAGCACAGAATTAAGAGGACAGAAGCAATCCCGGTTCACAAAGCCATTAGATGTCAAGTTCTGCTTACTTTGGGGCTTTCTGCCATATCCCTTGTAAAAACAGGTACATATTTCAAATGCTTACACACAGGATCTGGATGCAAAATAATTAACTGTCATTCCGTGTGACAATAACTTTGTCTTATCAGAAAGTATTAATTTCCAGATATTTTGTAACAACCTTATTACCGAGCTTTACATGTCCACCCGAAAGCAAAGGACATAGCATGGTTATGCCGCCATCAGAGGCTTCAGGAGAAATGGATCACGAGCGGATTTCCCATAACAATTTTTTTTTTGCCGTGGTCAATGTGTCTTATGGGCTTGGTTAGCTGTCCATTCCACTGCATAGTTCAATGAACATGTCTTCAATGCACAAAAGACAAACAAACAACAGCTATAAAATGTTCCACACCAGGAGGCCCTTTTTGTCCAATTATTGACCAGGCACTGCCCCCAATTCTCTAACTGCATCACATGACTGACTATTATACATTGATCTGCACAGAACTCTGGAGGCTATGCATGTGTCAAATGTAAGTTTCCGATTTAAATTGCTTTCAAAAGTGCAACTAAATAGCCGGATGTGTTGTAAAGTACACATCTGTAGAGAGATGTGACCCGCCCCCCCCCCCCAAATCTCTGAAAACTATGGAACTGAATGCAAAATTAATGTTTAAAGTTGTCAAGGTTTTAACAAGCAGTAACATTTAAAATATATATGTATGTAATGGTTGACCAAACTAAACACGACATATGTACTACATTTCTTAAAAATGTATTTCTTTCAATACCAGTGTCCAATAAAAAAAATCACTGATGCCACCAAATACCAATTTACAAATTTATAGCCCTTTGTCAATCGACTGTTAGATGAGCTCCTGTGCACGCAGTGTCGGTAATGGGGTTTATAGACCATACTTCACCACGCTGGTTAGTATGGTTTAATGAGACAGTGCCGAGGAGCGATTTGGATATTACTCGCCACCGACATAATTGTGGCCAAGAATCGTACTCCGTTAAGCGGGCTCAGAGCTCAGTGTTAACTAATGCTTCACTGCTCTAATCCACAACCATGATAAAATGTCCATCTTGCCGAACAACACGCGGTACAATCAGAAAACATATCGGAGAGCCATACAGTACAACTGCAAAAAAAAAACAACGCAGTACTTTGCAGTCTGCTTCAACACGATGTTTAGGAATGCAATGTACTAGCACAACAAACATCAGGGCACATGCATCCACGGTGGTCTATATTGAACAGATGGGAATATAAAAAAATTAAAGAGCTGATGGTTCCAAGAAGCTTTTTCCGTAATAAGAAAAATATTAATCGTTTCCCAAAAATGAGATTGCACTTTCCTAAATGTACCTCCGAGTGGAATTATATTATCCAATGCAACATCTCCAAAAGCATCAAGTTTTTAGGTATGTCAATAAATAATATGAATTTAATTGCTTAGAGATTTAAATTTTACAGGATTTTTCCATCACAGCACATACATTTAGTTGAAGCCATCCCGTGATTATCCTTCCATTAAATGGCAGTGAACCTGTAATTTTTGTTTTATTGATTAAAAAGACTAAAGATAGGTATTTTCAATGCGATACTGTAACATTGCGGAAAGTAATAATCATGTTTTTAGCACTCCAACATAAACAAAAGATTATATCCAGTCATATTTCACCGAACGTGAGGCTTCGGTTCCTGGACAATGCCGTGTTGGGCAAAACAGAGTTCGACAAATAATATACCTCATGGGAATCATTATCCTGTCCCTCTTTAATTAACAAATAATTTTACGTGATTTCCACCATTGTTTTCAAACGAAAAAACCACACGTAACATACATGGGTGAATAAAATACGATGACAGTGACGAAGGTGAAGATGATGTTGGTGGTGTGAGACGGCATGAGAGTGTTGGGGAGGGAATATGGCGAGGAGTTATTCATCGGCAGTGTCTACAAGCAGACCGCGCATTCCTTGTCAATTCGGAGATGAGAATCTAAGCAGCGTCAAACCGCGTGATGCCCAAACATCACCCCCGTGTTCCGGAAAACAGACCTCAATTAGTAAACAGTGTATAGCCAAAGCACGAGTTCGATAAAACAGAAAACACGTACATCATGATGAAATGGGGAAGAGGCTGATTTTATGTTTTTAAGGCAATGCAGAAAATTGGTGAGAGGAGTATGAAAAAAGGTGGACTTCTGTATTGAATAAAACATTTGGATGAACAAAAAGTTCAGTCATGGGCAGAGAAGAGGAAAGTATAACACGTAGGCTTTCGCGACCAATATCATCCATAAGAGGTTTTTGGGTTAGATCGCGTAAATATATGTGTCGTTAAAATCCGCTACCACTTGACACAGCCAACTAGTAAGGGTTGTCACGTAAACAGAACGTGCCAATTCGCCACTCCAACAACGGTGTGCTGTACTAGTGACGAATTGGCATCTTCTTTTTACGTGACAACCCTTACTAGTTGGCTGTGTCGGGTGGTGGCGGGTTTTAACGATACATTTATATATTCACGCGATCTAACCCAAAAACCTCTATGGAAGAGGAAAGTAATTTTTCTCATTGAGTGAATGTCTCAGATGCTTTTCTGTTCTCTAAATTATGCCCATGCCATGTTGTCTTTTGAGTTACGCAAGCAGTGCAATGTTCTATGCTATAAGGTGAATTACTCATACATTAACTAATTCACTATGCCAACAATATTGCGCTCTTAAGTGCCACTTTATTAAAAATTCACCTTTAATTTTCTGATAGATGTAACTCACAGCGTAACACAGGTATCCATGCTTCATCTCTCCATATCCTCTGAACTGGTTTGAACAATAAAGAATGTCTGTAATGTCAGATCATCTTTTGCAGTCAATGCTCGGTCACCAATTTTACACAGAAAGCATTGTACAGTTTGCCACCAAAAACACTGCACAAATCTATAAATGTTCACATCCTTTCATTGCCACAACCATTTATTGCTGGCGATGCCGAGGTCAGATTCAAGCCCTTGGGGCAATTGCATATTAAATGCTGAACTGAAATCTGGAACGATTTACTAATATTGGTTAAAGAAGCCAGAAATAATGCATTTATTACTTGTTTACTATTGTACCGTGTTATTTCAAGCAGGCGATTCAATTACCTGAAATTATTACTGTGCCTGACAATACATGCTATTTTCGATTGGAGTTAAGATATTTCTTGTATGAGCGAAACGTGCATCAACAATGACAGCTATGATGAAGCCATCAGCTAGTTTTAAAGCAAGATTGTTCCGTGTACGAAGAATGTTGAATGATACGTACAAAGGGTATGCCTGCATAAAGGGAATTTTGTACATATTGTACATAATGGTCATGTTAAAATAACACTGACAATGTGCTGAAAATATCCACAGAGACAAATATATATTTAGCTGGAATCAGCCAGGTAAGACTATTGAATACGGCATGCAAATGCAATAAAAAAATAATGCATATGCAAGGAAGTCATGTTCTCTTTACTCAGTTTAAATTAACCCAAGCTCATGTGGACCAACAGAATGCTGTGCCCTACATCAACCATACATGTAAAATACACGTCACGTGAGGAATCCAATGGTTACACATGCGTTACGCAAATTGCTGGTCCATGAGAAATAAGCAAAATGAAACTCTAATATGGGACCTTTCTTAGGTTTTACCCCTTCTGGCAATAAAACAGGCGTTAAGATGTTAAAACACCAAACAAAAACCTTTTTATAGGAATCCTGTCTGCATTAACCACATGTACTTGTGGAGAACATGCAAACAAAAAACACATTGATAATTATATATGCATTGCCTTTGAAACGCATTGGTCTACACCAGACAGCTTTTTTTAAAGCCTAGTCTCAAAGTGTTAGACCAGAGAATGCCAAAAGGCGAACAGCACAAAGACAATGCCACTATCAGGGCATTTATAGCTTGGGCAGAGCAGCTACAATATGGGACCTTTCTTGCAGCTACAATATTCTTATAAAACGAAACTGTGTTATGCCTCCTAAAGCCTGCTGTTGTACGGTAATACCCCGTACAACATCAGGGGATGTGTTCCTGAAAGGTATGACGACGAATATCGAAACAACGTAAATCAAAGCAATTTACAGGGTAGGTGAAGGTGGGGGGGTGAAGGCCGAGGAGACGGATACGAGAAAGGCTGGATGATGCTGTCAGCGACGTAAGCGTGAATTGAGGCAATTTATGGAGGGGTATGAACAGTGACGATGTATTTTCGAAACGTGAGGGAGACGTAAATTGGGGTATCACTGTAGTTGAGTTAGTTATTAATATATATTTTTTAAAGAACCGATCTTTGTTTTAATTATAAGTTTGTGACCAGTTATGGTGGACACAAAAGCCACACCAAAATGCACACACTAACACGTACCAACAGAGATCCCCGATAATAGCCTACATAGGCTGTTGGTGTAATTGTTGATAGCAAACACCAATGACAAAGACACACAGAATACTTGCACAAACCCATCCATGCGAGTCTTGTGCTGTGGGAGCTTCTCGTTGGGGCGACTCTACTGAGCGGTGGAGGTAGCGAGTGGGTGCCGTGTGGGAGTCACGCACGAGACAAGCCCACGGAAAGAGCAAAAGGAGCTCGAGTGTGGATACGGCCTACACCGTTTCACGTCCGTTTAAGAAGCTTGATTGCTGAATTTTCAAGTCTGCTGGCTCAGCACCCTGACACGGTACA